TTTTTGTACTTGAGCCTTTCCGTTAGCGTTCCAATCGAGGTATGTGGACTAGCCAGTGCTTGGAATTTCGACGCTGCGAAGCTCGGGAATCTTGCTTGTGTACGAATCAACAAGCTGTAGCAACCAATAAGTATGCATACATCGAGCTCGCGCCTTTACATTGGTGTTGTTGATCAGGAAGTTTGTTTGGTGCGTCCATAGACGCAATATTACTTTTTGCAATTACTGTTTTTCTTAATACGCCCGAGTACGCGAGGTAAAACTCGGAGGCGCCATTGAAAAGCTCAATTTTAACTAACTTCTTATCTCTTATCTGTACTAACCCGCAGCACTGCACGAAGTGAAGTCCCCACCCGCTTGCATTCCACTAATATTCAACATCGCGTATGCGCATAAAGTTATCCTGCCCAATCATATAGGCACATTCGCACATACAGACCGTTTTAAGAAAGCAAAAGTCGAGCACTTGTGTGAAGAATGTTGCACCGTTCGCCGGAAGTGCGCCGGACGGGCATGAACCAAACGAACGAAACTACTCAAAGCGCGGTTGACGGTTGCTAATGGCCATATTTATTATGCGTTTGCTTTCTTCCTGCCTGAGTATGCCGAGATCATTTCGGACACACCGTTCAGGCACAGATCTTGGGCGTCAGGAATGCTCGTCCAAAAAGGCTTAGCGAGGAGCAGGGGACGCTTGTTAGGGCCTCCGTCGTAGCTAGCCGATCTCGGCGTTTGCGAAAACTTCATCTTCTATCAGCATAAAATTTGAGTGGGAGATATATGATGATACGAGGAAGCCATCAAAGTAACTTTTGTGCAGTAGTGGGGTCGAATTTATCGCGTTTCCTTAAAAGTTCATGCGTCAATGCTGGGCTCAACTTTGATTCTCCTGTGAGGATGCGGCTTGCTTTTCGCTAAATGAAGTAACAAGAAGCGGACGGTCGCAGCGTGATAGCATGAGATGAAGCTGCTCAGTCGAAACCGAAACTGAGTGGCCAACTAGTTCCCAGAGTGCACTGCGTGGTATTTCGCCGCGATGGGGCGCGTCGGTTTTGGAAGAAGTCCTTGGTTTGGAGACTGGTGGCTTCGCTGCGTTTTCCATAGGATCTAAGCCTTTTTCTTTTTTTACTTTTTCCTCAGGTAAGCTCGCACTTTGCGAATTTTATAGAAAAAAAGGCACCACCTGTGGCCAGCGCTTTATACACCCAGTAGATGCGGGCCGCATCTGGCCCGCGACTCTGGGATGCGGCCTGCAAGCCCCCTACGGATGCAAGCTCCCATTCCTATGCCTCGAGCACCACATGCGCCATAAATAATAGTTTATATCGTCCCATATTTTGTACTGTCGTTTTCTCTAGGATGGAGTACTAATTCGTCTAAATATTTGCTTCTCGGCAATTTGTCATGTAAATCAACCGGAATGGCAGTATTACTATATTAGGCCAGAAGTGCGAGCTTTTTGCTCAAGGAGGCACCTCAAACTCTCGCTGAGCAGGAGCAACTGCCGAAGATAAAGTTATGAGCTCGAGCTTTTAGTTGCCAGAAATGCATTTAAAATGCAAATATTTTCTAAAAACAACAAAAAATCTGCCATATGAAGATATTTTTTCTATGGCTGTTGAGCCTAGCGAATTGTGTTACGGGTCAAGGACGGTCCGCTTGCTCTTGTTCTATTGAAAACTGCTAGAACCCTCGTGTTTTAAACCTTTTTATAACATCAGGTGTGCGTGGAAAGTAGTCGTATATGCAAATTACAGCTAAAGATGGCAAAACGGTGAGCTTACAAAAAGCAGAAAGCACAAGCTTCCTCCTCTAGAAAATATCTGGGGTATCACTGGGATAGTCGACGGCTTTGCAACATGAAAGACCACTGCTGTTTGTTTGTTCTTGTCCAAAAGTACAATGATATATGTTCAAAATCAAAATATTATTTCATTTTGCATTACCATTTGATTTGCATTACCGCCACATGCACCATATTTTCAATCCCCAAGAGTTACTTTGGCGCACTTATTTTTTTTTTTTTTCTTACGACCACCGTCGGGCATTATTTGTGGCTTCTGGCTGGCCACATTCGTATCTGTGAAGACCATACCTCGGCAAACCTCACTCATGAGGGCCCTCACTCACCCTCACTCACCCTCATCTTCACAGGTGAGGTGAGGGTGAGGGAGTTTCTGAACCAGGAAAATTCATGAGTGTGAGGGTGAGTGAGGGCCGTGAGGGCTGTGAGGGCGGTGAGGGCCGTGAGGGACGTGAGGGCGGTGAGGGACGTGAGGGCCCTGAGGGCCATGAGTGCGTGAGGAGCGTGAGGGGTGTGAGGGCCGCAAGGGCGGTGAGGGGTGTGAGGGCCGCAAGGGCGGTGAGGGGCGTGAGGGCGGTGAGTGGCGTGAGGGCGGTGAGGGCTATGAGTATGTGAGGGCCGTGAGGGCGGTGAGGGCCGTGAGGGCGGTGAGGGCCGTGAAAGCGGTGAGGGCCGTTAGGGCGGTGAGTGCCGTGAGGGCGGTGAGTGCGTGAGGCCCCCTTCAGATCGAGCATCTTTCTCAGCAATTTTGGTGTTAATAGCGGATTGTTCTCTAGCTTTCCCTAGATCGACACGAATGGCTGAGATCGGGTCCGGCTCGAAATAAGCAAGCAACTCGGAGCAATTCGAATACGTTTGAAGCGGCTGCATCCAATCAGGAACGCAAAATTTCCACGTGATACCTCGTGCCGGTGATGACGACACCGAAAGACTTGGTTCTGGTTTCAAATCGATCGTTTTTTGGAAATAAACTGTTTCAGAAGGTGCATTAGTATTCTTAACGAGGTTTAAATGCATAAAAACATGTTTATAACGCGTAATTGTGTCTATATAGTGCAAGAAAAATAAAATTTTATGATGACGATGGCAAATTGCAGCAATTGGTTGCTGCGTGTGATCGTGGGCGGCCCGTGTTGCTGGTGTTGCGACGTAAAGTTTCTGGGCGAAATCGCCCCATCTGAAGCTGGCCTGAGTGGCGTGAGGGCCATGAGTGCGTGAGGGGCGTGAGGGGTGTGAGGGCCGCAAGGGCGGTGAGTGGCGTGAGGGCGGTGAGTGGCGTGAGGGCCGTGAGGGCGGTGAGGGCCGTGAGGGCGGTGAGTGGCGTGAGGGCTATGAGTGCGTGAGGGCGGTGAGGGCCACGAGGGCGGTGAGTGGCGTGAGGGCGGTGAGTAGCGTGAGGGCCATGAGTGAGTGAGGGGCGTGAGGGCCGTGAGGGCGGTGAGGGGCGTGAGGGCGGTGAGTGCGTGAGGTTCAGTGAGGGTGAGTGAAGGGCTGAAGGTGAGTGTGACTGTGAGGGTGAGTGAGGGGTTGAAGGTGAGTGTGACTGTGAGGGTGAGGGTGAGTGAGGGGCTGAAGGTGAGTGTAGCTGTGAGGGTGAGGGAGGGGCTGAGGTCAGTGTGGCTGTGAGGGTGAGGGTGAGTGAGGGCGACTTAAAATGCCGACCTCTGGTGAAGACGCCCTGGAACATGCCCAGCTTACTCTCAGCCAATGGCGCCTCCTGATTTTCCTCCTATATTTCCCAATGAATGGCCAAACTCTCTCAATATACGGCTCTGCAGTGAACCAAACAGCACTTTGGCAGAGACTCATAATGAAAAACAGCACGAAACACAGGGACACAGAGGAGAGAAATACATACAGGACAAGGCGCTGGCGGACAGCAAGCAGGATTGGACACATGGCGCCACCTAGTTGGCGGCGACGCAGGCTACAAGTAATACGGCGGATGGATAAACCAAGAAGACCTACTTGAGACAGTGACTTTTGCCGCCTGGGAGAGCGGAAAAGAAAACTAGGGCATTTGTGTCAACGCACTTTTGCTGTTCTTAAACGTCTCCTTTACCTCATTGGTCTTTGTCAAGGTGATTCCTGGGACTCACTATTGCAGGGATTTTGTTTTTACTGTTTTCCAGGAACAGATTTTACAGGCTAAAGCCAAGCACCGAAATACCGACAATATTCCCTGCAGAAGGGGAACAAGGAACAAACACAAATCTCCAAACAAGACTACCGTAGAATACCACGCATCCGCCCATTCCACATTAAGCACCCATTCCCAAATTTCTAAGATCCGAGAAAATATGCACCGTAGATTGATAAGTAAAGTGGATACCCGGACAAGCGCCCATCCCCCATTTTTTCACGATTATCTCTAGATTTTGAGTGGGCGCTTGTCCGGTATTTTACAATAGGTGACTGATCCGCGACTAAAAAAAATCTGCCCAAGGCGGATTTTTTCCTGGTACCACACCAGGGACGGGACTATATCACACGAGCAAATGACATTTTAGCGAAAAGCGGTCAAGTGAGTGAATCAACATTTTAGCGAATCACTGGGGCGAATGTCAACCCACATGCCCCCCTGCATTCACGCCGCATCGCAACCACAGTCTGTGGCGGCTCATTACAAAAATGTTAACCCACCTGGCCCACCCGTAAATGCCTCTTGACAGCAGCCGACCATTCGCTAAATAGTCTTTCAATGAAAAGTCTGCGTTCACTAAAACGTTGTTCGACCAACTAGGTGCCACGCAACCAGGGACCAGTCGTGCACCAGTCACCTAGCCGTGTTTGGAGATTTGCACTTATCCTTTGTCCCCTTGTTCCCCTTCTCCAGAAGTTATCATTATAATTGTCCAGCTCGCTTGTGCCCTTGCATTAAGCGCATTATCACCACTAAAATACACCTTCAAAAAAGCACCTTCATCACCAAGTACAGCCCACTAAGTGCAAATATCAGCCTTTTCCACTTGGATGGAAGGACTGTCCTACTATGTATTACTACAAATGTCAACCTCCAAACAAAAATTCACTATGTAGTTGCAAAAGTTTTAGCACGTAACATTTTTTATAAAAAAAAAAAAAAAATCTTTAGATGAACTATAAAACAATAAGCAACATTTAAACAGCCAACGTAATGAAAAAATTTGAAAATAGCAAGCAACCAACAACAAACATAATGAAATCCAGCATGATGCATTGGTATGGTCAACCCATCAGGTTGTTCCTTTATGACTGTATGTACAAGGGCCTGTTTAAATAAGCACTGCCACGGCGCACCAGTTATCACAAGAAGCGCCACGGATCAAAGCACCTCCAGGTCAACGTGTCGCACCTCTGGATGACGTTTCTGCAAAGACGACAATTATTTATTTAATGTACCTGCCATGCCCAAAGTGCATTAATGCAGGGAGATAACGAGCATCAAGACAATACCAGATCAGATCTACTGATCACTTTATCAGACTTGACGAAATGACCGTCAGATTTCACAGGGAAGCACTACAAGCTGTCATGTGAAGTCACAAGCTGTCAGAAGGGCAGTGCCTTCCATAAAACCCGACAAAAAACAAATAAAAGAATTCAGGCAAATTATTTTAGCTTGTTATAAAAACTGCCAGATGTTATCAGGCTAAGAGATACTTAAATCAAACTTCACACTGCGCAACACAGAACACGAATCAGAGCAGACTTCCAACATTGTACGGAAATTGGGTGTCCTGGATCTTTCTGTAGCTCCTAAGTTCACCTTAGAAGTATACAAGCACGAAGAATACCCTAGGTATTGGGTATCCAACATAAACATATACTGCAAGCTCGCCTGAGACTCTCTCCATCAGTGCAACTCTCATGATGGAACTCTAGCATTCTTGTAGCATGAAAGTTCACCCTTCGTTTAAACGGGAGAAAATTACTAGGTTTGTTGAATGTCTGAAATCAATATTTCGAATTGATTTGTCGCCTACAGCGGTTAAGATAACTTCGACAATAGAGGGAAGAATGCGGTCATTGGAATGGACAGCAAAAAAAAAAGAGTGAAGGACCCACCTTGAGGTTCTTCTCAATCCTATCCACCTGAGCACCGAGCAAATCCACAATGTTCTCGCCATGCTTGAGCATGAAAGCATCCAACTGCTCTATCGTCTCTATCCTCGACACCTCCTGAAAGTGTTCCATAGTTTCAATCGCTAGAATGATCTAAATGGTCCGAATAGTTCAAAAGTGCCTTTCAGTAACGCTTCTGTTGCTGCAGAAATAGGACACACCCATAGCCGACTTCATCGTTCGAAAAAAGGGTAGCTATATCATATTTACAATAAGTTATATTTATTGAATCAAAATTTGAGCATGGTAAAGGAAGGAGAAAAAGAAGAAATACACGCAACAATATAAAAAAAAAATCAAGCAGTTAAAAAAGGATAATAAAAATTATTATTTTTTTATAATCTAAACTTTGAGACATGGAGGAAATTTTCTCCGTGTCTCGGGGTTTAGATTATGACATTTCCTAACCAACTAGCCTGCACACTTTCGCTTCTTAAAATATTTATTATTATCCTTTTTTTGAAGGGTAATAATCATCCTTTAAACGGTGGAATCTGCTGGCGCAAAACAGTTGTTCAAGGACAGCCATTTGGCTAAACCATATAAAAAAAAGATGGCAGGTATAACTCGTCTGACTTGGTGTGTCTACTACGGCTTCGGCCTGTAATTGGTAGATGTTGCCGTTGTGAAATGCCTCAAAACAGAACCCTATATAAATAATGCACAAGTACCACCAAACACTTAGCAAAACAACATCTATACTCGGCGACAACTTTTCTTGGCAATGCAGTGGAAGGTACGTCCCGCGTCCCCTCTCCCATTTTGAGTGTACGCAGGCTCTCCTCCTCCACCATTTCCGGGGAGAGGAGGAGAGCCTGCGTACACTCAAAATGGAAGAGGGGACGCGGGACGTACCTTCCACTGCATTGCCAAGAAAAGTTGTCGCCGAGTATAGTAACAAACAGCAAAAAACAAGGCTTGAATACTCATGTTTGCTCTTGCCAACCCTTGAAACTGTTAATATCAATAATTACTGCATGGAGAGAATGAGCGTTCAGCGTTTACAACCTGCTCCATTACATACCACATAAAGCCCAAACGCACATGAGACAGACGTAGAGAATGGGAAATGCGGTCGAGGGGGAAGCCGGCCACGCACCTCTAGCAGGAGTTCCAAGTCCTGGGTGTCTAAGTAAGAACGGGTCAACTCCCTGCCGTCGATGTCGATCTCTGCCTTGTATCGCACCACGAAGTTACCCATGTCTGTGGCCTTTACGTCGTGGATGGCCCTGGACATCCAAGAATAAAGAAAAGAAACTACTCCAGCCAACACGCAAGGCAACGATGACGACAAGCAAAGCAGTTACAGGTGGACTGTCTGGAACGGCTAGCGCAGCTAGAACGAACGCAGCTCGTCGTTAATTATTTGCCAGGCTTTAAAGATTTAACAAACGGTTTCTGGGTTTAACTGTCACTCAGGAATAGAGCACTTCGTTGCGTCCCCCGTACTCCAACATTTTTGGTAATCTTGGAATATACCTGAATGTAAAAGACCCCGATCACTGGAATGCAGACGCATGTGCGTTAGGGCCCCCCTTATTTGTCTGACCTTGTAATAACATTAATTTTTCTAGGCCTCACGTATAAAGATTATTAATATTATGATTATTATTATTATTATAAACTTGTGTTGATGGGGTGCAAACAAACTTGTTGAGGCTATTCAGTTGAATTTTTAAAAAAAATTCTTCAATGCAAACGCAGACATGTACACATTACCAAAAAAGTAACTAAATGCCGTTACTCGTTACATGTTTAAAAAGTAACTAGTAAACACATTAATCGTTACCGATTCTCAAAACAAACAAGTTACTTTACCTCAAACAAGTTACATTTCTCGCTACTTAGACGACGAAATACACAACTGTTTTTGTATTACGGTTCATTGTTTTCCTTTCAGTAGTCTTTGCACTTGAGCAGTAGCTGACTGTCGAAGTCTTCATCAGTTACGTCTCCCCGCTTCCTTGAGAATACATCTCCGGCGAAGCTGAAGAGTCGTTCTATTGACGCATTTGAAGAATGGCAGTGATGTGCTTCAGAAAAAGCTGGTGAATCTGGGACTTCCCTCTCCCTTTTGTTCCCTTTGCTTGTAAAGTTCAAAGTTGACAGTGGGTCCTGTGCCTTCCCACGTTGGCAACCTCAGGGTTTACATTCGGTCTGTACACGATTCTAGAAGGTTCAACCAACAAACCTTATTGTGCTAACAATGCTTGAATTCGGGCTAGTTGGTTTGACATTACGAGGTACACTGCGCAGCGAAGTTACACTTAACATATAGGTACACACGTAAACTATGAGACGATACGGAAGACAGATAAGAACATGACATACTCATGAGAGCACACAATAACAACTGTTTATTTTTTGTTTCTTCTTCCCTTTACATACAATTATTTTGAAGCATGAAGATTGCTTGATAATTCATGGAATTGAAAAATAATGTCATGGCGGGCAATTGTAGACATAGGTGTTTTAGGAAACGGAGAAATGCTGAAGTTTTAGATGACGCGTATGTACCTGAGTAACTGTGGAAGGGACTTTAATCGTCCCAGTCCTTTCCACACGGGAAGGGCGGACCACCAGAACAAAATCCGACCCTACTTTTGCCGTACTGGTGTTTTTGCGTTTTCTTTTTTTCTAAAAACTATAGAAGAATGGAATAGGTTGGCTATTGAAGGATGTGTTTAACGTATATACAAGTTTGTTTGTGTTTCAATGTTTTTGTTACAATTTCATGTATTTCATGTACTCACCCCTGCTATGATGAAGAAAGGCGATGCATGTCTCTATGTAAATAAAAAGAAAGAAGAAGAAACAAAAACATTTAGAGCCCTTCCACTACAGTGGCTATAGGGGTAGGTGTACCCAGCACTCTGCGTTTATGGGTAGTTCCACGTGCCGCCGCTTCATGACAAAAAAGTGGCGCTGTAGCCAGGATACCGGTGTTCTCTGCTCGAAGGGGTGTGGTGTGAAGAGTCACGGGGCACGAGGGCGTCTAGTACTCCGCAAGCTCAAGCAGGACGCACTTCTACGCTTGGTACCATTGTGCGCTGCCCGATGGCGCCAGGCGCAGGGTACCGGTTCCACCGACGTCATCAACAAGTGGCATGCTATTGCTTTTCTGTTTGGCACACCTCCCCTTATAGTCACCATACTTCCACTTCCCGTGAGGATGGAGGCCCAGCGAAGCTGTTATGTTTTTGATTGCTAGGACGATGCCTAGAGGACAACATCTAGGATGACCTCAAGGTCGACGTCTAGGACGACTTCTAGGACGACCTCAAGGACGACGTCTAGGATGACCTCTAGGTCGACCTCGAGGACGACTTCTAGGACGACAAATAGAGAAATTCAGCCTTTCCACTCTAGTGAAAACTAGAGTGGAAAGGCTGGAAAGGTTGCTGCCATCTATGAGCGACAATGGCAACCAGACAACCGGCAAGCCAGTTGTCCGGTTGCCACCGTCGCTCATAGATGGCAGTAGCTGTCCAGAGTTTTGTGTCGACGCACCATTTGTTCGCGGACACGATACTGGGGAAACGAGACCTTAACGGCTCCGCTGTAAAAAAAACAGTTGTCATTCTGCATTTTCACACGAATGTCATGTTCTATCTGGCTTCCATATCGTTGCATAGTTTACGTGTTTATGTGTTAAGTGTAACATCGCAGAGCAGTAAACCTCATTTTGTTCTTTGGGCAAAGGACATTCCCAGCTGTAGAGTTTGAGTGACGTGTTCAGCAATAAATGTTGCAACACTGTCATACTACTTAGTTGTTTTCCAAGTTGCCAATCTATCTTTGTTGCAATAGACGCTTAGGTTACAATTAAAATGAGGCTGTGGTGTTGTACATGTTACTCCACAAAAGTAACGAAATACAGTTACTCCTACTTGGCCTCAAACTTAACTAAGCATGAAGCAACGAAATACGTTACTCGTTACCAAGAAGGGTAACTAGGTAGAAGTAACTCTTTACTCCTTTACATACTTTACTTTACGTAGTGCGTTAAATACATGCCTGCACGCGTGCTTACATCAAAGGCAAAATATTGAACATACACAGGTTTGCAACCTGTTACATTTGTATGAGCACTCAAAAAAACTAAAGCTTTCTCTAAACCATTATCTCAATGCCATTCAAGGCACACCACCACAAAGAAGTCATGGAACTGAGGATAGTGAGGGTTCAGTGTGGCACATCTTGTCACCTTGTTTGCAAGTTTTGTCACTACTGCATTCACACAAGTCACTCTTTCTTTACAACTGTGGAACTATTTTGCTGCCCGCTATTCGTAAAGTGCCATCTTGCTGTGTCTTCTCGCATCACGTATCGTTTTGCAGTGTGCCCCTTTAGTCATGTACTTTGTAACATGGCATTGTGTCACGCCCTGCAACGTGCTGTTTTGCCACATGCCCATTGTCACGTTCCACTCAATAGTAATTTTGTCACATGCCGTTTCATTTCCCGCTGTTTTTGACCCGTACCGTGTTACATGTCATAAATTTATTGCAACATGCAATTTCGTCGTATTTTTGCCACAAGATATCTTGTTATGCATTCTTCAGCCCGTCACAACACGTTTTGTAACCATGCCGATTCTTCTTTTTGCCCCAAATGTTTTTCCACGTGCTGTTTTTCCACATTATTTTGTCACATGCCACATTGTCAAAAACTGTAAAACCCTTTATTTTCGCAGCCCCTATTTTTCGCGAATCGGTCACAGATGACATAATCGCGACCACTAAATTTCGCGAATTCCAGACGCCTGCATTGAAAATCTCAAGGGCCGAAATTTTCGCGCGCCCTTAAATTTCGCGAATTCTTCAATTCGTGAAATTCGCAAAAACTGAGGGCTCGCAAACATTAAGGGTTCTACAGTAATAATTTGTCATACATATGCTATTACATCCCATTTTGTCACCACATGCACTTCCAATCCGTTCCTTAGACACGACGGCCTGTCATCTCATTTTACATTTACATTTAAATCGATTCACCCTTTTGTCCCAAATTTGATAGCATGCTGCCTTTCCACCTATCGTAAAGTCTCGAGAGATAGCCCACCTAAAATTGAGAGAAAATCGGGTGAAAACCCGGAGTGGGCTAACTTTCGGTGTGCAATCGAGAAAAAGTTTAAGAAGTTCTATTTTTAGATTATGTGTCTCTGTCAAACCTGTTATAGCGGTGAGGGGAAATCAAGCAAAGATGACTGTACTTCCCAGCCAGCGATGTTCGCTTATATCGCGCCACAGCTAACTTAGACACATTTACGCCGACGTTGTCATTGATCCGAACTCTGCGATCACTAGGAGTGGGCCATCTTACAATGTTTAAAATAAAATAGCAAGTCAAGCCAAAAATAAGGGGCGGGCTACCTTTCCGGGCCGGGGCATATCTCCGGATTTTACAATACTACTTTGCGAAGCACGCTCGACGCGTGCCATTCCACGACGCGCCGTCACCTGATCATCACGTCGCTCTCCAGCTCCTTGTTGATCTGCTGCATGGCCTCGAAGGGGATGGAGCGGCCGACGAGGGCGGCCGCGTTGGAGTACACGATGAAGGCCGCCACCGAGGAGAGCAGTGTGCCCACCAGCAGCGAGCCCAAGGCGTCGTAGAATGGATTCCCCAGGTGGGCCGCCAGGCCCATGCAGGACGCCGCCACCGCCACGCCCCCCACCGCGGCCAGGTCTTCCAGCAGGACCACGTTCACGCTGGGGTCGCGGCTGCGGCGTACTGGGACAGAGAACCAAACCCGTCGGGAAGGAGGCAGTCGTGGCGCCCCGGGACGACTGATTACTGCGCGGGATGGGAGTACATTTTTGTCGTCTGTTAGCTGAAGGGGCCCTGCAACGTGTTTCTGATTTTGAACTTGAATTACCCACGCGAAAAGTGGGGTGCGAGACTCTGGGGTTCATTTGAGACCGCCAACCTGGGCGAGTGTTCCAAATTTCTGGCTAGGGCTGTGAGCTGGGGATGGGGTTGGATTCAATTTTGGGGCGTTTGGTTGTGGTAGGGGGAAAAGTGAATTGTGACAAAAATATTATTGTTATTATAGAATTGGAGTTGTTTCTATTGTAAGAGCTGAAATAAACCTAGACTACCAAACACCACTTCTTTTTGTCGGTTACGTTGTTGCATTAGACTAATGGGGAACCGAAATGATAGGAGCGTGCACCCGCCACGAGCAATGTTTGTAATGATCCGCCGATCTAAGGGTGCTTTAGACACAGATGTGAGCGAAAACTGTGTGCAACGAAGCATAAAACGCAGATTTCATACTTTTTCTGCCACTCCTGCCTCTGGATGCCAATGACATCACTCTACCAACATCGTCAGCTTAATGTCAATGTAGCCCAAATATGAAAACAAAACAGTGTCTTTTTTTTACAAAAGTTATTTTTCCGTTTCGTTACTTATGAGGCTTGTGGCCCCCACTAAAGAGATTATAATTTGTCAAAAGGCAATCCTTTACTCGCTTGTTTTGCTAAGACATTCATTTTGCCATTCGGTTAGGAGAAAAAATCGGGGAGTTGAAAATAAAATAAATGCGAGCCTCGCAATTTACCTTTTAAAAAACTGGCCCGTGCAAACGAAAAGTGACTCTTGTTCCACACCTGAGGAGCGTAAAATGGTTACAATGGGACACCAGACGGCCAAACTGAAAAATTTGTATCGTGATGCTACTTGGAAAATGTTTTGTTTCGCTTAAAGGTACAGTCGCGGATGACATGAAAAAGCACAGGCAAGCGCGTGGCTTAGAAGGCCTGCAGTGCTATGCACCAAAAGAAAGCTGAACCATTATTGAGGCTTCTTGGGCTTTTAAATTTTTCTCGACCCTCCCCGATTGACCAGCTGTTGCCGAGTTGATGCTGATCAGCTCCGAACGTAGAAGCATTCCACAACAAAAGGCAATGTCAAGCATGGCTAACCACCAGTTTGGCAAGTTGAGAGATTCTTCGGGTGTTTGATAATAAGTATGTGGAATAAATAACAATGAGAAGTTTTTATTTTAGACAGGACGTCCCGAATGCTGCAATATCCTAAACCTATAGACTCCCTTCCCTCTTGATGACGCTATTCCAAGCCCTATCTGATCCTTACCATATTCCAGCATGCTCATCTTTTCTCTCTGCGCTCCTTTCTTCACCTCATTGTAAGCCACCAGAAGGGTCCCTGCAAGTATTGATAAATGAAAAAAAACAACAAAAAAAACAACAGTACATTCAAAAATTGGCAAGTTACAGACTCAGGTTTCTCTCCATTTCAGAAGTGGACCCTGCAAGCCAAAAATTTCCACTAGCTGGTAGGGAACCTCAAAGACTTAAAGCAAACACTGCTGAGTTTGTTTATTTAATTATTTCGTGAATTTCAATAACTGCTCCAGTTAGGAATCTTTCCAGGCTACGAAACTTTGTGATTGGGCAAGCGCCTGCGATGCACAGTTGGGTGCTTGACAGCTTCAATGTTTCTCGTTTCAAAGATCCTGGCTGCATGCTGTCCCTTTGAGTTGGCCGTGCGGCAAGGCAACTTTCCCACAACGTTTGAAATGTTTGTGTGATTAATTTTTTGTGACTGCGTTTGATTCATGAACATTAACTTGCCGCAAACTGTAAGCCGTTCTGTGGCAACTCATGATCCTCGTAACAAAATCAAGCTGGTTCAAAAGCACAAATTAAATTTGGTAAATCAGCAGACTGGCAAGAAGTTACTATATTCATTTATTTTTCTAAAATATCGGTTCCAAGCATCATGCGAAAAACATACCTCCTTCTGAGATGAGAGAACCTCCTAAAATAAAGAAAGCCTGAAAAAAAAGAAAAGAAGAAAACTACAGTGAAAAACATGAAGGGGACCATGATATATTTTTATAAAGAACTTTGCTAATGAAGCAAAAGGTAATCTGCAAGATGCATCATAACCTCTTAAAGTTCCTTTTTAGGAATGAACCACTATGCTGAAAATAACAAACTGCACAATGGCCACCATAAGCCCTCTAAATTCGGGAGAAAATTATGACAAAAATTTCATTACAGATGCATTTTATATGCTCTGTCAACTGCTCTACTGTGTTGTTTCATGAAAAAGAAATTACTTGAAGTGAAATGAATTTAAAACTAACCTCAGATATAAATGTTATTAGCTGCTTTGATCGTGGCATCGAGCATGAAGTGTAAACGCGACGCGAAGAACACCAACAAGCCGCTGAAAACAGCAGGGTGATTTCAGATAAGATCGACCAAAGGGTGGCTGGTCGACATTTTTAAATCAACTGATGTTTTTATATGACATTGTCTAGTGTCTGGTATAAACGAATCCACACTTAGTTTTGACCAGAAAAAAAATTTGGAGACAAGAAAAATCGTAAGGCAGGGAGAGGTGGACAGTTGCAATAACGCGCACTGATGGAGGGGGCAAGTTTGAAAGTGAATAATTAAAACAATAAAATTAGGAGAATTTCAAAACTTTTTACAAACAAACTATGGGTACAACTTGCTTGTAATATAAAGTAATAATATTTATTAAAAATTTATTTAGTTTTCTAAAAATTGCCAAACATGCCTGCTCGAACGACAAATGGCAAATTTTGGAGGTCTGTATCTCATGAAATAATTTAATCATTATGATATAATTTGCAGACATTATTTTACTAATATATGGCTATTATTGAAAAAATAAATAAGGTATCTGAGTGACACAATAGTTACAATATATTTAGGCAAACATGGGAAACAAATCAAACAAAGAAAAATTCCCATGCAAATAAAAAAAAAACACCACCTTCGATTTTTTTTAAATTTGGGTACCCTGTTATACTCTATTTCGGCATTCATTTCTATTAAAAACATGTTGCATCATTGCACTGTGAAAGAAGAAACAACTCCCCAAAGTAGGGTCCTTTTTCAAAGCCTACACTTAGCAGTGTCCTATACAAGAAGTGACTCTGAGTTCCAGTTTCATGAAACTTGCACAAATCTTTTATATACATTTATTCAGATGAGGTCATTGATAAAAAGAGTGATCGGTCACACAGTAAAAGGGAGGAGAAACTATATACAGCATTTTACATAAGCGTACAAAGTGGTATCATATTAGAGACTAATGATTTGAGAAAAGATGATGCAGTGTGAAGTTGTACCTTCCGGTATATTTTACATCTAGAGTAAAATAAATAACTTTACTTCCACACACAAAAACAAAGATATAATAGTAAGATATTTAGGTTGGCTGTGTATTTACGATTACAAACAATTTCAGGTGACGGATGCCATAGTGCCTAACTGGAGCAGCTTCGATGCTCTCGGTGTATGGATGAATCGTGGCAAGCCGATATATTTTATCCTGCTCGAGGATAACATTTTGGGATTTTTTTTATAGTGATCAGATAAAAATTATTAGTAACCACCACCAAAAACAGTAGGTTAAATACCCCGTGAAGAAAAATGTGATAAATAAGATGTCCCTGCATTCAAAATGAGCAGTCCTTGGGAAATCAAATTCGGCACTTTACGCTAAGGTTTTCCTCGCTGTACCCATTTAATAAAGTTGCTTCCAAGCAGATCCGACTGTCCGTGCTACATATACGTCACAGGTCCCTTCTGTTGATGACTTGCTGAGCCGCCACGCGTGCCAAGACTGAATGCCAGGGAAGGCGCGCACCGTCAGCCACTCTTCTTTTTTTTGTTCACGATACCGAACAACCTCATTTTCGTCCAGATATACAAGATGCACGCCTTTCAGTTTCTTTGATAGAACGCTCACCATTATCCTGGCCGTCTGAATTGCGCTTACTGAACGTTCTCTCAGGTTGTTCAGCGTGGCCTGGTGCTTCACGAGTCCGCCAACTCCGTCACATGCATTTTTCTCATGTCCAGATGCAGAAAATAACCACTGGGCTTGTGGGCAATCGTCCTTTGCAAATTGGTGAAGCTGGTAGCGATTCTTGAAATGACTGGCGGCGCCGTCACTTACGTACGTCACGTACGAGTATACCGCAACGTTGTCTTCAACCCACTCCTTCACTTTTTCTAGAGCCAAGCAAGCGTGAGCGGCGTCGTGACACAGGTCCTCACTGATGATGGCAAAGCTGTTTGTAGATTTTCTTGTCGTCACTACACATGTAAATATCGAAACTTGTTTTTTTTTCCAGTGATATGCTTGCACTTCGTCAGGAAGCACGATGGTCCAGTTTTCAGCAAAGTCAAAATGAAAGACAATGCTCCCGCGTTGCATGCACTGTTTTTCATCGTAGATCGCTTTACCTTGCGTTTGCCGGATATGGTTGTGAAGTACCCAACTTCCAACCGTCACTTGGATGACTTTTAGGAAAGTCTCAGGTTCCAAAGTTTTTTTCACAAGGTCGCCGGACTCCCATGTTGCAAGCACAATCTCTTCATCCTCCGGGATATCAAGTTCCTGGAGTGTAAGAAACTGGCCTTTTGGGCAGTGATCACAGTCTCCTTGAAGGCACAGTTCTGTTGCTGGGTCGCACAGAAATGCCGAGTTCATTTCACCAGTGTTGAATGTTGAGCCTGTAACGTTCTCTAGAGCGGCAATACAAAGATAATAATTGGCGCAGCGCACACAAACGCACACTTCCTGGTGTGGAATACATTGGACCCATCTAGGGCGCAATGAATAAAATTTCGTTAGCCCAACGCCGGAATCGGGATGCTTGTCTTTGTATATACGGAAGGCCTCTCGTATTAAGCGTGTCATGAAGCGCTTTGGCACGAACGTTTTCTCTCCATTGAGCATGACAGAGATGACGTCCTTCTGGGTGGGACTTTGGCGCGAACATTGTAGCTCGTCTTTCGTGAAGTACTCTAGGGCAGCAGACAGGTTCTCAGGGCTCACCTTGCACCTCGTGTAAGGATCCGGCTCATACCACACGCCATGCTTTTCCTCGAGTTTTCGGGATTTACTGATGAGGTACATTGAGGCCTGTGGAATCATCTTTTGAACCTCATTCTTCGTCAGTGTTGACGGCAGGAGTGTAAGCAGTTGACAACGTTCCCGGAGAGAGGTGGCGGTTTCAAAGGCCTACCGAAAGTTGTCCACCCACTCAGTGCATGTGGAGCATGTTGGTTCGGACGACCCCGATGGTGCGTCCCTGTCGTACGCAATACGTAGCCTTGAGCGTATATTCTTGACAGCAACCTGCTCCAGTTCTGTCTGCTTTCTCTTGACATAGGCAGGCCTGTCCCGACTTCTTACGACGCTTGGTTGTCTCAGCGGCGACACATCTGTAGGTAGTATGCTGCGATTTAGATCTTCAATTGCTTCTTCAGCTGGCACAAATATGTCAGGGCACTGCTCTGAGCTTCGCATCGAGATCTCCTTAGTGATGTGCATGATGCAATGGTAGCACAGGTAGTCCGTCGCACTCACTTTGGTGGAACAGTCAGGCGGAAGAATTTGCTTCAACGAGTTTAGGTCCAACTCGTCAACACTTCGAAAATTCCGCTGCTTTGGTATAGTCTTTTTGTGTTTGCAAAAGTAATCTGCACAAAACACTCGTTCGGAGCTCCAGGACGTCTTCATAATGTATACATAAATAATAGAAATTAAACCCCAACTGATGGCATATAATTGCCAAGTGAAAGAACTACTGGGTGCACAAGTGACAAGTCCGAGGCTGAGGAGCTCACTCACTGCAAACATACATTTGAAAAGAGAGGTCACAACTGAGGCTGTCGGCAAAGCTTGATCCACGTCAAAGGAAGAAAGAGGGAAAGTCTCCAGACAAAAAATTGTGGTCAGCGGTTTTCGAAAAAGACTTTCCGGAATCGCACTGTCGTCCCTCCACGCGCTGATATGAAAGCACCCGAGCTTCTACCAGGTGGTTCATGACACAGCCTGAGCCATGTCGGCGACCGGTTCGCGAGGGGTTGGCGGTGGAGTTACGTTGATGGTCACTCGGATTAGCCCTTGCTGTACTGAGCTACCGCCTGCAGTGCCTTATCGCCGGCTGGTGTCAACAACGAGAACACACACACCCTGTCTACAGCAAAACTACAAGCGTTCACCGCACACGCGTCGCCGCCGCTTTTAAGCTTTTGTGAAATTGCTTTCTTTTGCCGCGGAGAACCGCCTTATCTTAACTACGCGCCTGAAATCCTTCCAGGCGGGCGTACACAAGATCAAGCGTTTTGAGAAATGCCCGTGGAGTAGAACTATGGGAAAATTCGGAGCCCGCGATGTCGATATCGTCGCCGTTGTGTTAGTACGCCGTCGCGTACTGCAGTCCCCCGTTGGGGGAGGGGGGGGGGGCGGTCTTACTACGATAACATGGCGACAGCATTTACACTCTATGTATTTACGCGAGGCTCGAGTATTTGGGGATAATGCTGCCGGTTGGTGTGCCCCTTTGTGCCTGATATTATCGCCCGTGACGCCAGCGAGTGAGATGGCGACAGGCATGACTGCTCAGTAAACAGGCGTCGGCGGCCATGTTTTGCTGGTTGAAGCGAACCCCCTTGTCCTTGACAGCGAGCGGGGAAATGCGAAAAAAAGATTGTATCGGCCGTTTTGCCAGAACTAGCGACGAGTGTCGTCTGCGGTTTCCGGCAACTATTTTTCCATAATCGTGAGCTTAGCGAGGAAATGATTTTTGCTAGCCACAGAACACTACCACGCAGAAAAGGAATGCTTGAACATGTTTTTGTTCTGGATATATATCAGGGATATATATGAGAGAAAGAGAGAGAGAGAGAGATGAAGGTAGAGCGGAAGAGGAAATAGCATATAGTGTCGCAGGAGAATAAAGTAAACAAAGTTCCTAGTGGCCGATGGCTGCATTATCTTTTCTCGGATCACTAGTCCGTAATATGATACCTCTTTGTACACAGTAGTTTCTCCTTAATTTAAGTGTGTGAACGATTTCTTTAGTTATCATTGGCCTCATCTGAATAAAAATATATAAAAGATGTGTGTTGGTTTCATGAAACTGGAACTCAGAGTCAGTTCTTGTATAAAACACTGCTAAGTGTAGGCTCAGAAAAAGGACCCTACTTTGGGGAGTTGTATCTTCTTTCTCAATAAAATGATGCAACATGTTTTTAATGGAAATGAATGCCGAAATAGAGTATAACAGGTTACCTAAATTTTAAAAAAATCGAGGGTGGTGTTTTGTTTTTATTCGCATCGGAATTTTTCTTTGTTTGATTTTTTTTCCATGTTTGACTAAATATATCCTAACTATTGTATCACACAGATACCTTAGTTATTTTTTAAATATTAGCTATATATTAGTAGAATAATATCTGCAAATTATATCATAATGATTAAATTATTTCATGAGATACAGACCTCCAAAGTTTGCCATTTGTCGTTCGAGCAGGCATGTTTGTCAATTTTTAGAAAAATAAATAAATTTTAAACAAATATGATTACTTTATATTACAAGCAAGCTATACCCATAGTTTGCGCCTAAAACGTATTAGAGTTCTCCTAATGTTATCGCTTTAGTTATTCACTCTCAAACGGGCCCCCTCCATCAGTGCGCGTTAATGCAACTGTCCACCACCTCATGCCTTACGATTTTTCCTGTCCCCAAGTATTTTTTCTAGTCAAAACTAAGTTTGGATTCGTTCATACCAGACACTAGACAATAACATATAAAAACATCAGTTGATTTGAAATTGTCGACTAGCCATCCTTTGGTCGATCTTATCTGAAATCACCCAGCAATGACATGTACTACTAGTAACTGTAGTTACTTAACTCCATGTGAAGTAACTAAAATGTTCCTTCACCAAAACGTTTCAGACTTGCACGTGCGACAAACAGGATATCGCCATCCTTTTTTTTCTCCGAATTTAAAGATTGCCATTATGACGACATTTGTGGTGGAAAGTGCTCGTTTAGCACACTAAACTAAGCGGTAAAGCTAGACACCTGCCAATATGCCTTCAAAGTGAAGAACAAAAAGTGCAATGTATGTATGTGCCATTACCATTCCGGACCACTATAAGAAAGGCAGTCGGAAAAAGAATAAACTATATGTACTATGCAAATTTAACCATAGGCGTGGCGTAGGAGCCTACGCTTACCCAGTAGAGAGACTCCAGTTCCTCAGGGTGAAGGAGTCCCTTGATCCCGTGGTACCAAGCCAGACCGGCTCCAAAGAAAAACACACCGACACCGCTGATGAGCGATGACACATACCGCATGTTGTGATACCCATACCTGTGCAAATTCACGAAAACGCCGCTCACCAAAACATTTCCGGGCCTCTTTTCAAAAAGAAAACCACGAAACAAAATAACAAAAACAAAAAAAAAAAAGCTCAAGCAGCCAATGCGGAACGCAAGTTCGTCTGCTTCTTTTGCAGGCGTTGTGGTGATGCCAGAAACACGAGCTCTGATCGAAGGGTAGCAAGTAGACCTCAAGGCGGCTTGCTTTGAGGTCGACCTGCCATCCTTCAATCGCAGCCAATCAGAGCTCGGCATTCTGACGTCACGCAGACAAACTTGCGCTCCGCATAGACACCTGCAGCAGCAAACACATCCTCGAGACGTCGCAGAGACGTCGAATTGACGTTGTCCCACAAGGGTGAGAAGGATCGTTGGTTCTCACCCTGTTGGTGACCACAACTTAGCTGTCGACAGAATTAGAATGGCAGGGAGGTTATTCGGTTATCCCACCACTTCCAGCGCGAGCACTGTACCTTCGATAACACTTCGGCACCTTGTGAGCTTCGAGTGTGCGCACGCAGACAAAGCGCGGCGAAGCTGTGGGCTTGTGCTGGAGGCCAGTTAGCAAGAAGAGACGCCCTGCTGTTCTTACTCTGTCAGTTCACGTTCGTTCAATCGACGCTTTTATATACTCCTGCACCATTTCGAAGATTGGCAGTTATTTCATAGAGCCCAAGCAAACTCACGGGTGGTCAGGGTTAGCCTCCTGGATCGACTTGTGTATTCCAAAGGAGAGGATCAGCTGTGAATCCGAGCGAAAATTCTCAATCAGTCGTGTGTTTCAACGGCTCCAAGTAAGCCTGGCGGAAATTTCAAGGCGTCTTCTAAGGCATGCTTCTTTATGTGCTCCGGGAGTTTAAACGAAACAAGCATTTCCCTCCGAAGCATGGTGGACAAAAAAAAAAGCAGAAACCACCGCAACAAAACCTAAAAAATGGGACGAATAGATGCGATAAAAAACTGGACTTTGCAATTAATTAAGCTGCCTCTCTAAAATAATGAACATAAAAAAAAACTCTTCTTCACTTGCCTTTCCAGCAAGTAAAGCCTCAAAAGTAAGCGGCAATATGAGCCGGTTCAGTTTCGTATTAGCCGAAAGGGATAAAATGCTGCGTGGGGTACCTTCGGCATGCTAAGCTATGAAACCGACTGCAACACTGCTATGACAGGAAATTCGGCAGTCCATTCCAACTCCTCTTTAAAAGGCTTAACAAACTTGGGGCTCCCCGCATTGCCTTCGTACCGTCCCAACCCAAACGCCGCTGGGGTCAGCTCGTAGTGCCGCACTTTGTACGGCGTCTGCAAATGAAGCCCGGGAACAGAAATAAACACAAACCTGGTTGCAGGTGTCGGAAAGAGAATGGATCGCCTCGGCAAACATGCAGTGTGAACCAGTGTAGAGCCAGGCGATGCCCTTGAAGGCAAAGTTGAGCCCGTTTCTGTGGCGAAAAAAGAGCGAGCCAGCGGGGTGTCGCCACCCAGCGCTGCCGCACACTCACATAACCACCGCCGTCTGAACCACACGGCCGGACCCCTTAAGAATGGTCTCCCTCCTCTGCGAGATGAAAGCAAGAATGAAGTGTGATGTGCCTTAGTCTCTCCTTGCAAAGTGCGCTTTTTTGGGAAAACAAGAAATCTATGAAGTTTGCAAACCTTGGCCTCCTGGCTTGCTCTCTCCGCCCTTTGGTACTCCTTGAGGATGCTCTTTACATTTGACATGCCTGCGGGGAAAGCGGCGACGTTGGGCAGCCATCACGGCTCGCCAGTGCCCATGCAACGTTTGCGGTTCGTGGCGTGTGGAGTGACCTAAACGCGAAACCTACAGCCACCAAATTACCCACGCTTAGAGTATAGACACTTCGTTACTCAACCACCTCGCGAGCACCGCCATTTTGTTGCCCAGTGAAGAGTGAATGTAACTGGCGCTAGTTACGAACGGAAAAACGCAACTTCCAGAGCTTTAAACACGGCACTGAGAAGCTTGGGTGACGTCGTATAACTTTGTCGCAGACTGTTTTAACGCTTCTGGGGGACGATAAAGAGTTTTGTGAGATTTCAGACGAAGCTTTGGACGACTGGCAACAGTGATCTTAGGCAACAAGATGGCCGAAGTGTCACCCCTCTGAAGCGTAACCTATCTGGCGGCTCTACGAGACCGATTCAACCCCTGCTTCTCAGAGGTCACTCACTTTCCCTGTACTTGAGCTCTTCGTCCCGCCTCCTCTGCTGCTCGATGCGGATGGCGTCGTAGGAGCCCCACATCTCCAGAGCCCTGGGGACGGCAAGCGCGCCGTTATGCCAGGGGAAAAGTTACTGCACAGCAGTAAAACATTAGGTTGCACAGCCTCCATTTGTTGAGCAAAGAAAAGGTTGCAATGGTATGGCTGTGCAATTCTAGAATGATTGCGGTTCAAATAGATTAATGGAAACCAGAGATAAAACAGTTTTCGGAACTTGCTGATCCCATTGAAATGTCAAACATTATGTTTGACACAACAAAAAAAAAAACTAATTAAATCTTGAGTTGGTTATTCATCAGAGCTGCCTGCAATGCCCACTAAGCTTTCACCATGACATGATTAAAGTTGCACACAAAAAGACAGAAGAAAACGACTCGTCCAACCTGCTACCTTGCTTCATTACAACAAAGCTTACACGTCCAACATTCTCGCAGGCGCCGACTTTTACTGATGTCGTTCAACCCCGCGTTCTGGAACATCTGCCGTAACTCTAGGTTCGCAAATGGTGTCTTGTCCGATAATTCTAAAATGTGAGCAATCGGTCAAGCTTTTCATTTACATGCCAGGTTCATGGCTTTGACACTGTCCCTGAACCACTGTCTGCTTTGCCTGAAGTTTAATTGTTTGAAAAGCGAAATTAATTCTGCACGTGTAATCTACTGTGCATGTTGCACTGCTGAACTGTCGAGGGGCAGAAACTCTGTCAGGCACCATGCCTTTATCTCTTCCCCATACATGGAAAGAATCTGCAAAACAAAGAAAAAAAAAGTAATTTCTGAAATTTACTTTTCGCAATGCCCTGCCATGCGACAGTCTCTCATCTCTTCGTAAACCCCCCTTCTAGAAGCTTGGGCTCCCACTTTCATCTGCCATAGTGTTGCGGCCGATCGATACAGTTCGGCAGTACCATCAACCCTTGGACCATCATCCACAGGTTCCCCAATCGCCCTCATTTTAGCCCCCGATGTGCTGAGAAAATGTTTCACGCTTCAATGCTGCATGCCCAACCAGATGCGACGAGACAACGAAAGCTTACGGTTGAAAACAATCATTGCTTACTTGGCTTCGACATCCTTACGAAGGTAGACGGTAATCGGTGGGGCGTCATCGTAGGGGCTTCTTCGCTGAATCTTGCGCAGGCCCTCAAGGTCGCTGCACAGAGAAGTTTCCAACGCTGTGAGACACGCTGTCCATTCTATGAGTGTCTCACACATTTGCGCTCAAGTATGACAGAGTGCGCTGTGCCTGCTTATGACGGGAGAATACACTGGCACACTGGTGCCATTTATTAGGTGATCCTGGAACACCGTTTATTAGGTGATCCTATCCGTATAACTGCTATTATTTATTTGTCAAAGTATAGCATGAACAATTAATAAAGGTGTACAGTTGAACCTCAATTTAACGAAACCCGATTTTACGAGTTTCCTGATTTAACGAACAAATTTGGATTCCCCGCGCAGCCTATCCCGAAGAATGTCTTTCTCGACTTTACGAAGTTCCCGATTTAACGAAATAATTAGGGGGTCCCGGTGACTTCGCTAAATCGAGGCTCAACTGTATATGCACCTTGCATATATCATGGGCACTTTCATCATCGTATGTGGTCGCCAAAAAGGAAATAATCGAAAGTATGCAGATGATTCGAACAATACTCTATCGAATGAAACAAATTCTACGAAGCCGCCAAAAGACAGAACCTTTGACGGAGCCGGGATTTCAATTCCGGGTCTCCCAGTACCCGATTGGGTAGGCTAACCACTACATCACTCTGCCTCGATTTTCTGGAATTTCCTATCTATCTTATTATTGCGCAGAAACAAAATGTATTCAATCAGAGGTGTTCTGGAAGCAGACGCCGCCGCATGGATTGTCAAACGACGTGGGCTGGCATGTGGTACACCCTCGCTGTGCACGAGAATTGCTCTTGCTATTCGTCTCGTCACATGCACATGTATTATTTCTTGTTTATGGGCTTTAGAGAAACATAATCATCATGCGCAGGTATCAAGAGCCACACCTCTGATTGTATAAATTTTGTTTCGGCATGCTAATAAGACAGATAGGAAACGCCAGCAAGACGAGGCGGAGTGGTGTGGTGATCAGTGTACCCGACCTAATACTGGGAGGCCTGGAGTTCAAATGCCAGCTCCACCAAAGCTTTTGTTTTTCAGCGACTTTGTGGAATTCGCTTCATTCGAGCAAGTATGGTTCGTTCGTCTGCATATTTTCGATGATGTTTGTGTATATATGTATTGTGCATGTTGGGGCTTATAGGGATTCTGAGAGCAAGTCATCTGCTTCTCGTAGGGGTTGTAGTGACGTCAGAACGACGCCGAGCTCTGATTGGCTTTGATTGAAAGGATAGTGGGTAGAACTCAATGTTAGATGGCGTGAGCTCTATCCAATATTTTTTTTCAATCGGCCAATGAGAGCTCAGTGTTCCGACATCATCTCAACCCCTGTGCAAGATGCAGACAAACTTGCTCTCAGCATTTCCTTTTTCTTTTCTTGAGAGGTTGTGTCGTATGCCATTATGGTACTCAGGCCACTGACGAAAATGAATCTCTGTATTCTAGAGGGAGTGTGTGTGTGTGTGTGTGTTTTACCTGGGCCTTTTGTCCTACAGTATACTTAGATAAATAAAATCAAACTAGACAGTTTTACAATCTTTACAAGATCAAATCTGTGCACTATTTTTGTGCAATGGCTGCGTACGAGCAGCGTCGGAAGATGTAGCAGACCAGCAAAGCAGGCACGCATACGAAATCTATTGGCAGCAAGAGCGCCCAAGAGCGCCGTCGTTTTACAAGCGTGTTTTCTTTTAATTTTCGTGACTTCCAAGTTTTGCTATAATTTTCCACAGTTATTTTTAAACCAAAGGTACATTACAAAAAGATTACTATGTCCATTTTAATAGACCACGGTCGTCGCGAGCAATCTTCATATTTTTTAAAAGCAAGCCGGAACAAGGAGCTGGTGCCATCTGTCAGTATGTGCGTCAAACACGCCCCACCACAGGTCGTCTGTGTCTACCGTTGACCCTGGCAGGTTTTTTGGCCGTATTTTTTAGAGAAAGGAAGCTACGCCTTGTAATTTTACAAGGTAAAACCCACCTATAAAATACACCTTTGACGAAAAGTTTAGACTGATACGTGCAGGCGCCGATTTTTACGGCCCATTTTAGGTTGAGCCTCAACATTTCAGACACCATATATATCACATATATACCAGGGCTCCCCGATGGATGGTACCAAAGTGCCAGTGTGTTCTTCCACCTTAAGGGTCCACACTCCAATGCAGATATAGGAACCACCCTTTAAATTGCGTCGAGAGGAGATGAACACACCTTGGTTTGAGCATATACTCGCTCATGACCCGGACGGGCGTGACGAAGTTGCGCTCCGTGTACTCCTTTGTGACGTCCAGTTTGGGACGATGGCCACAGACAGCTGCATGCGGTCATACAGAGGGAGTCAAGCGACAAGCACAACAAATCACATGCAATAGGTGAAAGCAGGGCGACCGCCCATTGGCTTAAAATGTTTTGATGACATCATGCTCGAATGCTAGAACGGACACTGAACGATCCCGAGAAAGGTTTTTGTTTCATGTTCCATGTTCCTAGATAGAACATATATGCCACAAAAGAAAAAAAAAAAAAACCTTTTCAAGAAGAAAAGGAACAAAACCTTTTAGGACAACATTTAGGTTAAGACACTCATTTCGAGCATTATGACATGCCTAGATATTTCGTGCTTCTATATCAAAGTGCAGTGCCAAAACAGAAGCCCCCATTTCGAAATCACACCTTACTCAAAATAGTATCACAACAAACATCTTGTGATAATGTTTTTCTTTAAGGAAAGTTTATTTTGTGATATCTGGGGATTATGAAAATATTCTTGAGTTCAGTGTGTCCCTCAAACTAATTTCGAAACCTCTTACTATTTGGTTCGACATGACGAAGTATCAGAACTGCTCGAAACTCAAAACATATCTTGCAAAATACAATTTGAAAAAAAAAAAATGCTTTTTTTGGAGAGGAATTTTTATTTGTAACATGTGTGTCCTATCCGGGAAGAACTGAACAAAAACAAAAATGTTTCTTGGGTAAAGCAAGAACATCACATTAAAGCAAGATGTAACTTCTCCCTTTAACGCGACATTGTCGCTTTACAACCATGCATTTTAACTGCCAACATTATATTGTCCCAATCATGTTTGCTCCAGATGAGGGTCACAAGTGAGATGTTAAGAAACTCAATACCTAATGAAAAGATTGCAAACAATGAGATACAGCTTAACTGCTCGTATACTAAAGTAACAGCTACTGCTTGCAGCACATTGTGGGGGGACGGCATGCTCAGGTCCTTGCCACCTCCATAAAATATGACCAATGAAAATAGTTATTTGCGTGGAAATTGCGAACATTACTATCATTGCTCTTTTTAGGTGCGTTGTGCACTATATTTTGCCAAAAATGCGAAATCGTTAAACGTAAGAGACGTAATACAGCAATTAGTTTGAAAACGCTAGAGTTTCTGTATAGGCTCCTTACAGGAGCCAGAGTTGCAGGTTTGTTTTCCACGTACTGACGCGCCGCTACTCACTGAGATGAAATAACGTGAGGAGAAAAATTCAAGTGCCATGCAGGAAAGCCACCGATACGGCCGCTTCGTCGACGCTGCAAGCGCCTCAGCATACGTTCCCCTACTTTTGTTTCCTCCTCCTTTCCTGTTTTCCAGGAAAAGGAGGAGAAAGAGGGTGCAGCGCACCACCGCTATTCGCTGAATTCAGTCATGTGAGGAGCAGAATGCCGTGCAGCAAAGCCGGCGCTACAGGGATAAACGCGCAACTCTGGCTTTTCTAGGGAGCCTATACAGGAACTATCAAAAATGTCATCTGACAGCTCCGAGGAGCAGAAAGAGGGGCGTGTCACAATCTCCGATTATATTTTTATTAGGGAAATCAGCCACTCACGAGTGTAATTTTGGGTGTTTTAGAGCCTGTAGGTTGAGTTATCACCATAAATAGACAATCTCAAAATTCACTTGAGTACCCCTTGAAGCGTCAAACACCGTGTTGTGTTTCATCCTTTCATATTTCTCTTTTAATCATGTGCATACATACATAGAATACACAACAATAAAATTAAATGCACTTCCACATGAGATGGAGTGTAACAAATATCCACTCTGCAGGAAGTCAATTTATTCATGTGTACAGTCGGCAGCAAAAGCGTGCGGGGCACGGGAGCGCCAGCCAAAATGACTGGCTGCGACTCCTGGTGGAGCGTCGCCGCTCTCAAGGCACACGTTTTGCACTTTCTATAGTGTTTGTTTTTGTTTGACGTGCACGAGATAACAGGGACTGGTGCAAGGGGCTGCAAAATGTTATCCGAAGAATTCGAGCACTGCCACCCATCTCGGTGGCCGAGGCAGATCTGCTGCATGACAACTCCCAAAGCGGTACCTTGCCTTGGTCTCGGCTGTTTCGTGCGTGTCGGCCGGAAGCGAAAAGACATGACTGTGAACACTAAAGGAAGCGCATTCTCGAAGCGAGAGTCTTGAGAGCCGCTGCACGCAGTCAGGAGGCGCAGCCAGTCATCTTGGCTGGCCTTCCCGTGCCCCGCAAACTTTTGCTGCCGACTGTACATCTTCTCCACTTTAAAGACTTCCCCTAAACCACGTTTGCTGAGAAGTTAACTGTCATGTTTCCAAATTTTAAAGAGTATAATTTTCTTTTAATTATGAGAAAGAACAGGCAACTGAAATGAATAAACACCCCTATAACCAATCTTTTCTTTTGTTTCTTTGATTTTATTATTGTGTGACTACGATTAAAAATATCGCAGCCAAGGACGGCGTGAACGCTGCACAGGTGGAGGGGCGGCCTTGTAAGCTGCCGTGGCAGCCTGCCAGCAAGAGAAGGAAAAAAAATGTAAAGAAAACTTCACGGCTTCTGTGTTATTTAATTTTTCTGCATTCCGGTGTTTGCACAACACAACAACTAGCATGCAAATTGAAAAGGCTATTTCTTTTTAGTTCGTCTTTTTTTTTTTTTTCTTATGTGAAGCTGGGCTTTAACAAAATGGTGAGTTGAGCCAGTTGGTTCATAATGGGAAAAGACAAGCGCCGAAAGACTAGGACAAGGTAAGAAGACGACGACACAAGGCGGTTTATGCCGGCGGTTGGGTGAAAAAGCTGGGCTTTTTCACCCAACCGCCGGCATAAACAACTAAAAAAAAAAAAAAAGCTTTAACAAGAAAGACAGAAAAAAAAAAAAGGCAAGCCTGTGATTGATTTTCATTCATTTGATCGCGAACCGCAGCAACGCGATGAAAATTAAGAGCAGGCGTATAAGTTACCCTTGACGATGGTGGCTTGCACCTCGGACATAGCAGGCTGGTTCTGCTGTTTCTCATCGCCCAAGCTGCACGACGTGTGAAGTTGCTGTCGCCGATGAGCGAAGGCGGACCCGGCCAACGCGCCGGAGCGACCGAGCCGAGAACCTCTGGATCCCCAGAGAACTAGGACTCCTACGAGACCGCAAAATCGACATTTCACCTCATTCACGAAGAGTCAAGCAGGACGAACTGCTTCAAGACGTGATAAACTTACCCGAGCAACCGCAGCCCTCGCGCGAACTCTTCAGAACTTGGGCCCAAGTCGATTTGGTCGCGAATCGCTGGCAGTTTTGTAGACCTTTGAAGATGCAGACGGAATAACCCTTGGGGAGGATAATCCGCGGCAGCGGTACGACGGAATTCATTTTGTCGCGGGGGGTTGGGTCCTAGCGCGTTTCCGTTACTCTCTATTACATGGTACGCGTGAATGAAAGGCCCCTATTTTAAACGCAACCACGGGTAAATATGGCAAAACCGGACGGGAAGAAGCCTAGCTAAACACACCACCCAAGCGATTTTCTGCCTTCGCTGCCTACGAGGCCGCCATTGTTGTCAGTGTCGTCAAACGGGTTAGCAAAGTTTACCAAGTCGCCATTTTTAGCTGTCGTCAACAAATTGGGCAGGTAGAATGTGCCAGTAATTAAAAAAATAATAATAAACAACGCTCAATAACTATCTTGACAGAAATAAAATGACGAGGGGGAATAGAATACAATAAATTACTATCAAAATGTTTGCGGAGTCGTGATTTCTCAATTCATGAATGATTGGCTTGACTTGGCCGGCTTGACCAACTTGGCTCGATCAGCCATCTTGCTTGTCTTCAGGCGTCAAACGTGATAAAGGTAGGCATGAGAGTGTGTTGTGTATATTCCTGTTGGAACTCTAATCACCAACAGAAGTCGGCGACTTTTCACCGGTGAGTATCCCATCCTTCGTGAGTATCGCGAATTTCTCGTCACTCCGGTACGACCAGTGTGCATATTTGTATTTTTGTCTAAGGTTTCCACGAAGTCGACCAGAGATCTATCGACAGTGGTTGATCAACATCGGCGGGGGCAGACGAAACTGGCAGCCGTCCGGGGAGAGTGTGGTGTGCTCGGACCACTTTGAGAAAGAGTGCTTCGACAGGACTGGACAAACCGTGCGCTTGAGGGTGGATGCTGTCCCCACGAAAAACCTGGTAATATATCCTTTGGTTTTATGAAATGCGTTCAAGTATCAAAACTGTGCTGTTTGCATGGTTGATGCCCAAACTTTCATTTCGTATGCCGGTGTCGCCTCGCTTTACGCCATTCTGCCGTGTCATGGGCTGTTTCAATGACTGGTTAACGACTGCGGCCAATGTCACAAGCACGAACGCATAAGGTGCACGAGGTCTCTGCCTTCAAAAGTTCTTCCACAAAGCCAGTACTTTCGCTAGAAATGCATGTCTCAAGCTAGGAGCACGGGTTAGTTCCTCCCGCAAAGCTTTCCACTTTAGCGAATGCTGGAGAGAAGGAGAGTTCACTCGCCTTTGTTAAGTGGAAAGAGTGGAGGCTCGAAATGAGAAAGAGAAATTCCACCCCCTCCCACGACCTCTCTCTCTCTCGCTAAAATCTGATTGCTTTCATCTCCTCAATTGGATCGGGCTTGACACATGACCCGAACCTCCCATGAGCACGCGTGAATCTATCTTCAGCTGGTTGTTGTCTGCTTCGAAACCACACCATGAGGGGGCCCGCTGCTCCTCTGATTACCGTGTGGGCTTTTTGTTTTCTTGTAACGCGATGCCGCCCTGGAACCCTAATCTGGACACTTGGTGAAAAAGCTGGCAAGAAATCGGACAGTCGTGATTGGCCAACGTCGGACTTGACCTCGGCGCCGGCCAATCATAGCCGCCGGATTTTTTGCCAAGTGTCTAGATTAAAGCCCCTGTTGTGCTGCGTGTGGTGCAAACACCGGGTGTCTCAAGTTGAGGCCAGGCTCTTTAAATCGACCACAAAATTCGGTTTCTTAAACTATCGCGCTACGATTTTGTGCAGCGTTGCCCACAGGTGGTGCATTTTTTCCATAAAATTTGCAAAGAGCAAACTGACCCGAGGAAAAAGTAATAAAAAGAAAAAGGCTTAACTCCTATGGAAATATTGCAAAGCCACCGGTCTTTAAAGAATAGGGCTCGCTATTGTTTGGAGACCGGTGGCTTCGTTGAATTTCCATAGGAGTTGAGTCTCAGACAAACCAAGCTGTGTAGCAGGGACTAAAGGACACAGATTAATCTGTGACCATTCTGGCACAAAGCGGCAGAAACACTAGTTGTTTTTTTTTTTGTAAAACAGAGTTATCATTGTATTTCAAGAACAAGCTTCGCCAAGCCCCCGCACATGATTCCAAACAATTATAAGCGGGCCCGCTTAGGTGTGTCTAGGCGCGCATTGAAGTCAGGACGGCTGCTGGGAGGGAGTGTTGAGCGGGAAGGATTTGCCTCAGTGGAAAGGAGGAAACAGCATGGGAGATGAGGTTTGCGCTACCTTTCAGTATATAGGCACCTTTGTTGGCAAGGTGCCTGTGCAGTAGCTTTACACAAACATGGTTTTTGCGCACGTGCAGTACCCACACCTGGTGTGGCCAAATGCTGACATGTTCGTTAACAGCGTACGAGTCCATAATATAAAATTTAAAAGGTGTTTTTTTTTGCTGAAAAAATAAACTATGCATCGCCAAATGCTCATTTTCTGCCCAAATGTAGCGGTAGCAATCTGAACCAAATGCCAAGGTTTCAGAGCTAAACATTATTTTTAAATTTTTGAATAGGAAAATGACGACCGATGGTGTTCTAGAATACATGGAGCTCTATGGCGCCAGTTTACGAAAACGAGCTAAAATTGGCCCCATTTTCCCATTGAAATATCCGGAAAATCACTTTGAAACTTTGGCATCTTATTCGGACCCCTGGCGCTACATTTGGGCCAGGGTTCTTTCCAGAAATGCTTAAGATCTGGACATCTGGAAGTTTCCAGGGTGTTAGGAGGGAAGAGCGTATTGGAGTTCTCAGAACTTTCTCTATTGCACAGGACTGATTTCGTTTAGGGGGTTTAGCGGTTCTCTTGCATAGTGCCACACAAGTCTGCCAAACACAACAATCTGGGCTGTCGTGCATCTACAAAATCAGTATTTTTGTCCAGCGGAGGCTAAATATAGAGGTAGACAGTCAGCCAGACTGGTGGGTGGCAAAACCACTGCCGCCCACTTTGGGGAGAACCCTGATTTTGGGTGGAGAATGACCGTTCGGCGATGCATGGTTCATTTCTGCGGTGGGAAAAACACTAACCTTTTTTGGGGAGGGGGGGGGGGGGGGGGGGGGGACACGCTGTTCAGGTGTATAAGATGTGGACATGAGATTAGAGAATAAATATGGCTGTTGATTCAGCAAGGTCAGTGCTTGGAATTGATGGCCAGATTAATATGTGACTGCTGTCTGTCTGTTTTATTAAATTACAAGGCATCGAAAATGGTTGGGTTGATTGCCTGAACCCCTACGTTTGCCCTCATCATTTAGTGATTTTACTTCACATGGGAAGCTTCTATCAAAGGACAAATTAACTGACTATGAGATGAAATCATGAAATCCTATGGAAGTGCTTTCGCGGTAGATAATGACCCGACGAATTTTGATGATTTTCTGAAATATGGTTACTTGAACTGTGCATTTTACGAAGTTGCATGCGCAAGGTCCAAAACGTCTTGAGGAGTTCCCGAACGCTTGATTGCCCAGTTGAAAAATCTCATTAACTCCAATTGGAATTCCAATTGGTATTAACTGGAACCAATGGGATTTAACTGGTTCCAACTGGCAAAACATTTCCAATTGGAAGCTTAACTGGTTCCAATTGGACTTCCAACTGGCACTAACTGGTTCCAATGGGACTTCCAATTGGCACTAACTGGAACCAATGGGATTTAATTGGAAGCTTAACTGGCACATCTCCAATTGGAAGCTAAACTGGTTCCAATTGGAAATTCAATGGACGTCAGCTGGAACCTCAATAGGTTCCGACTGGAAATGCAATGGGTTTCAGCCTGTTTTCTCACTAGGTTCCAACTGGAGATTTAATGGGTTTCAGCTGGCATCTCAATAAGGTTCCAAATAAAAATTGAACTATCTGGTTAAAAATGAAAAATAAAGAGAAAGTCTTGCATTTGGCACCAGTGCCCAAAATAATAGCCGGAATGAAATGAAGAAAATATCAGTTAAAAACAAACTGTATTCTTAAAGATTCTAATTTAAGGGCATTTGGCATGAAATAGCTTATAGATGGTTCAATATTTGAAACAATTCAGTTACATTTGTCATTTATTAGATGTGGAACCCTAACTTAAGCAGGTTGCAAAACAAAGAATAGTTTATACAGGTTTACAAATGGTTGAATGCTGTAGAAACTTTGTCACAGAAAGTAGCATCAGAGTTGCAATCTCGCTCATAAAAAAAGTGCTACGGACACGAGAGCAATTTATCACAGAGCTTTATTTCAAAGGGGAACAGGCAGTTTTATACTTAAATAAAGCAAGATAACAGATTAGACCTCAAGTCTTGAAGAACACTTCTAGGTTACATATAACTTGTAATTTACCCATTAGAAGGGTCATGAGTATCATACAACAAAGCATACATAAATCAGACCTTTAGAACAATTGAATACTTACTGCCTAGTGCACGAACAAAGCATAATATATAACATACATTTTTTTATCTATAACACAACATACAAATAAAAAGTGTTAGAATACATCAGGCACACTCATTTGTGAGATTACACTTGCCTCACATTCTTGAAGCATCAGGAGTAGCACTTACAAGCACAAGTTATGGAAAAGGTCTATTTAGCATTTGCCACAAAGTAACATGTATGTGCTAAGCGTGGCTTTGTTTAGAATTCAGACACTCTCATGAACATTACGATGTAGTCGCAGCTCTGTCTTATTTGACACATGAAGATATGGCTAGGGAACTCCAACTACAAGATGTGTACTATTCTGAAATACCAGGAATTATCAGGGGAAATGACCCGTAAAAGTCGTTGTGCGGTGTACACTAAAGCCCAGCAGTCGTGCATCGGAACAACCACGCTGAGTAACATTGCTTGAAATGCAGTGTTGGGTAAAGTACATCTAAAAAGTACTTGAAGTACAGTACAAAGTGAATGAGAGCTTATGCACTTTAAGTAAAGCGGTAAATGAAGTACCATGCATATAGTGTATTTGAAGTAAAGTACTATAAATACAATGCACTTTAATTGTAAAGTACAAGCATTTTTTTATACAATCTTTCATGACACCCTTTCATTTCCCTAGTGTTTTTTGTTAACTGGTACGCATTGCTCCAGGGGTAATCAGGGGTGCATCAGTTATTTTTGGAAATGGCGGCAAATGTTGGATAAAGCCAAGTGGCCACAGAGTATAGTTATTTTCGAAAATTGCGCCGAATTCAGAAGTCTCTCTGACTTCTTCATTTAGCACTGCTTGCACCGAAGAGGGTATAAGGAGTGTTAAATCATGTACATTATACTTTATGTATAATGTACATACCGTAAAATACTGGGAAAGCGCCCACTGAACCTTTGGAGGTAAGCGCAAAAAAATTGGGGATGGGCACTTGTCCAGTCATAGATTTTACATATAAATGTACAGTGCGTATTTTCTCAGATCTTGCAAATCTGGTAATGGACGCTTAATGTGGAGTGAGCGAATGCGCAGAATTCTAGGTAAAGTACTTCTCAGCACTGCCGAAACGTCATTAGTGATGCAAGCCACCATCTAAATAAAAGAGAGCTGCTGTGACTCTCATCTTCTAGCAAGCATGACAGAAGGTGACTCGTAATGTGCATGCTGGTGCAGCACCCGTCTAAACCGAAACCGAAAGTAGGAGGGGTATTTACTAAACTTTTAATCATTATGAAGGGACTCCCAGGAACATTTTGACATAGTCACAGCTGGTTTAAGTCCATGAAGCTATGGCATTGTGATGTCGAAGTCAAATATGTTGCATACAATCTAAATTGGTTAAAAAGACCTTGATAGTGACCAAAATTTCAGTCTGCTGCAAAAGGAGTATGCTGTATCCAGATATGAAGTTGAACCAAGGGTACAGACAGGCAAATTAACCAAACTTCCGAAAGCAATATGTTATATCCAAATGTCTGTTGTAACCAGGTCTGTTTTAACGAGTTCATACTGCATATGTTTAGTAAGGCGTCTACTAATCTGGAAAATCTAGAACTGTCAGAGACTTTTGCTTATCTGGAAAAGTCAGAATTATCAGGGAATTGTAAAAAACGTTCGCTAAATCAGGAAAATGACCCATGCAAGTGCCACAGCAATGTGCAATGAAGCCCGATGGCTGCGCGTTGTACGGCTGCGGTAAGTAATATTGCCCAAAATATCACTAAACAACAAGCAACCATCTGGTTAAGAAGGAAGAGCCATTATTGATTTCTAAGACGAATAGTATGTCAAAGTCGTACTTTTAGGTCAAAAGAGCACTCCTTCGATAAAAGTAATGGTCGAGGATCTAACTGAAATAGTCAGAAAAACCTGGAAATGTCAAGGAATTTGAAAGAAGTAATTTGGTAGACATCCTGTTTTAGACAGCGGGAAGTTAGTATGCCTTCAACTAGCATTTGACAAAATCACTGTGGCGTGGCAATTCAGGCAGTGAAGCGGTAAAGGTAACCTGGTGTTTTTAACGAGTATCACACAGTAGGGATTGCCTAAATGCAGTGTACAACACCCCTCTTAATCAAAAGAGGCAGGAGTAAGAAAAGAACTTCTATTTAAAGGTTTGCAGCACAAACTTTCCCTACACAGGCTGCCAAGCTCTGGCATGTAAGCACAATGACCACTGATCAACCAGTAATAATGTGTGATTGAATGACAACCGTGACAATCTACACTGACTATTATCTATTCAGATGCAAATATGAGCAATTCAGAAACAAGGAGTGGAAACTGAATTGGAACATTTTTTTTAAAAATTAGTTGTGCAATAAAATATTTATATTAATGGTATGAAACTTTGACAATATGATCAAGAAGGTATGCAAAGTAGCACAGGATGAGAGGAGATGGGATTTGAATTTTTAAAGGAGCTGTGCAACGATTTTAACGTGGAAAGAATTGGCATCTTCTGTTTTTGATATTGTTCACCTTGTCACAAATGACAGAAAACACACCTCCTTTCATCGAAATGTTGCGATTCCGCCGCGTAATAGTGAGGCAAAACTGAGAATATTCCCTGACCTGCAGCCGCGAGCGGCGGCCATGAGAAACACGCGGCATGACGTCAATGGAGAATCTTGTAGAAAGACCAAGTTACTTGAATACCTGCTCGATAAAAGGTAACTTTTCTATATCGTTCCAACATAGATATAAATGCATCAAAAACCTGGTATCATAGACAAAACTCTTATTATACGGAGGTTTAGTGGCGCCAGCTATCCTATATAGGTCCACAAAACCGTCAGCTCTATAAGCTACCGCGAACAGCCGACAGAAGCTGGAGGGGGACAGGGCTGGACGGGTATGGCCGGACCCGGATGAGACTTTCCTCCTTTCACTGTATTGTTCGCGCGGCGCCCGCCAGCACGTGGTCACGCGGTCACAAGCGGATGAGTTCTCGCTGCTCACTGATGGCTCTAAAGAGAGAACTTTAGCAGAACCCGCGCCTACACCATCAACATCACTGCGCACGTGACCCGGAAGACGACGTACGAGTTGAAAGGTGGCAAAAACCTTGATCCTTTTCATTTCTTTAAATAAAAGCTAGGGTATCCAGGCAAAATCTTTTTCTGTAGTTCACTTCAGAAGTGTCAGGCATCAACTTCCACAATTATTTAAGTAAAGCCCTAAAATTGTTGCACAACTCCTTTAAGTTAAAGGGCATTTACAGTGTTTTGACCCACAAACCGGCTCAACTGTATGGCATGCGAAGGTCAATCCTTTCTGGTGATAATCTCTAGAAGATTGATAATTAACTCAGTAGTTTGCTGTAACCATGAAAGACGTGTCACTATGTGCCTATACGACGTCAGAAATCGATAAATAAAAAAATCTCCAAGAAACGACTACTTTCAGCACAAAATATGGCATGAACGACTTTAAATGTTAGGATGAACACAACTACCGTAAAATACTGGGCAAGCGCCCACTCAAACATTGGAGATAATCACAAAAAAATGGGGGATGGGCGCTTGTCTGGTCATCAATTTTACATATAAATGTATGTGCATATTTTCTCAGATCTTACAAATTTGGGAATGGGCGCTTAATGTGGACTGGGCGGATGTGCGGTATTCTACGGTAATAAAAAAAAGAATTATGTTGCTTCCCAATGCCAGCTTATGTTTCATGCTTTCTTTTCACGATTTAGAATGTCAAAGCGCTGGGAACAGCTACAATGAACTTGCTCCGTAACATCACATATGTGCACACGTTTGAGATTTCAGAGATGGGGACAACTTGCGCATATGCATGATCTCCTGACACCCGATGAAAATGATTCTTTCGAGACACTGGGAAGTATGGGGCTGGCAAGCACTTTAGGGGTGTCAGGATGACAAATGTGGAAGTGTCATAAACTATCTTTTCAATCCTGCCAAATGTTCCATCTGCAAGTTCGACAAAAGAGTTGTTAGTTTTCTTGTTAAGGCTGTAGGAATAAGTTGTCAGAATGGACTTGTCTTTGATCGCGCGTTGAAACTCGACAGCCCGAGAAGAAAATGCCGGAGAATTTCGGAGAGGACCACGAAACGTAACATATGGGGCTTCTTTGCCAAAAAATCGCACTCCTTCCCCTGACACTAGCATAGTCTTCTGAGTTACGTTCAGATCCAGTGAGTTACAATACTGTGAAACCTTGGCATTGACAGTTTGCTCACTCAATTTGCACACAGCAGTCTGAAGTGCCATTGCTCGACAGATCTGTTGCGGGATTCCGTTAGAAGCTTTGATACGAGATTTAAGGAAGCCATTTCCCGATTCAAAAGGAAAAGCAGAATGGGACCATAAGGGTCCCCAGAGGCGGACACTTTTAACAAGATGTCCAAGTTGATGCAGGTTGTATGTCATGCTCTGTTTTTCATACAAAAGCTGGGTGGTAATCATAAACTCGAGCATCATCCCATCAACTGCATCAATATCCGAGACGGGGATCTTTTTTCCTAACATGACGTGCAAGGATTCTACCAAAAGTGCCCAGTGCCGGAGATACTGATTTGGCAGAAGGCCATCCAACACCGGCACACTGTAGTACAGGATCCAGTTCTCTAACTCTTTCGCCTTCCAGAACTTTCTTTCCTTTAGGGATCGTGGCATTCGCCTCACATCCTTTGGCGGCCTCATTGCCAGCAGCTTCCGATCAAGTTCAGCAATTCTGTTCCCAATGTAGAATTTCTCTCCTGTGGCTTCGAGCCAGTACTCAAGAAACTGGCGCCCCACCCCCAAGAGAACACAATGCATATAGTCTGGGACAAACCCGCAGACTATGTCAAAATGTTCCAGGTTGATTAAGGGAGATGCAGTTCTGACTCCTCTAACTACCGTCCCAGTGTCAAGTGCCTCCTCCATGTCTGCAATCATTTGTATTTCCGTCCTCTCTGGAGGGTCGTCTTTCAGGGTAGGGTACTTGACAGAACCCCCATGCCGCTCTCCAGGGTGCAAACACCAATTGCATCCATAATACCCATTGAACTGGAGGATGCCTTGCATGGGGGCTCTGGCCACTGAATCAACAGCGCAGCATATACAAAATGCTTTGAAAGTTTCAGTGGCACCTTTATAAAACAAACTAAACCCCTCTACGGACAAGTTGTTTACCTGATCCACGAAAACATTCTGGAATACATCCATCTTCGGTTTCGATTTCCCGAACCACAGAGCTGCCAGCACAAGCTTGCCCATACGAACTGGAGCAGGAAGTTCGTTAATGGTGAGCTGGATGGGCCAGATTGCAGTGGATGAAGATGAGAACACTGGAGCCCCATCGGTGTTCAGCGTCATGCTTACTCTGTGACCATATTTGGCAGTAGCCTTGACAAATGACCGGTACATTTCCCCATCTGTAATGTCCGTGAGAGTGTCATCTAAAGGAAGAGGCTGAGTTAAATCTAAGAAATCTCCAGACTTCAAAATATCCTGCAGTTGCGAGCGGATGTCAAGCGTCACAAAGAAAGGTGCCTCGGACAGGCTTGACACCTTGCATACACGGGTGCAATGCGGACATGTAAATGAAGAGCAGTCCTCCAGTAGTCCGACGTAAAAAAAACAGTGAATGCAGTAAAAATGAAAAGTGAGATCGCTGTTGGTGTCCTTCAGCACCTGGGAAATCATATAACGCGACTCGGGCAAAACAGGCTGGCTGAACATAGAGTTCACCATTTTCAGGAGGTTAGAAAGACCTGTAAAAGTGAGGTTGCTACTCACAGCATACTTCAAAACCATCAGCAAAAGTTCTCCCTTTGACACTACGACCTGTTCCTTGATAATCTCTTTAAAGAGATCTGCAAAGAATGTTGCACCGTCGTCCGCAGGAGCTTGCATCGTGGGGTGCTCACTTCCGTTCAGCTCAGCATCTTCAGTGCGCAAGTCCTGAAAAATAGAGAAAGTTACAATGCATTGTATAAGTAAAAAGGTGATTTACTTTGTTACAATATGATCATGACAATAAAATATCAGTGCTACACTATTCACATTTCCTGGGGCACTCGAATGCCCTAAATTATCAAACATGTTTTTCCAACATATGTAACATTTCACTAACAATAAAAATGTCAAATGACAGTGACAAGTGTAAAATATCGAGAAAGTTCCGACGAAAAATTTGAAGATCAATCTTGAAAACCAGAGGTATGGGTGCTTGCTCCCATACCTCTTGAAGGGAAAAAATTCGGAAAAGGTAAAAATAGGGGGAGCTTCGCCTCTCAGTGCTCGTGCACCTAGAGAAATGGCTAACGCAGAGGAGCATCTGTTCACTGGGTAGGTGTATAATTTTGGGAAGGGTACCCAATATGTCCTTTGCCTATTTTTCACACTTTTCAAAGGTACCAGGTTAGTGCTTATTGCTAAAAGACAAACATTGTGTCGGCCCTGATTCAGACAGAAACGCAAACTTTAAACTCAATTTGTAAACAAAGCAGTGCAGTTGCATCAAGTACAATGGTTCTTGTCCAGTTAACCTACATTAGCTAATGCCCTATGTGAATTTCTGAGCAGCATTATAGAACCCATCAGGAGAAGAGAGACCATGGCTCTTTTATATAAACTCCAGGGGATAAGGTGATCTCCACTAGGCATGTGGGGCAGGTACACGACGACTATTTAGAAAGGTAGAACTTTTCCTTTCCTGCCGAGTGCTTCACTCTGTGTTTTTGATAGTACTCTACAAAACTTGCAGGGTGGAGAAAAACACGCGATAAGACAGGCTTCTCAGGTATTATAATGTTCTACAAGAAGAGAAGGAAGCATTGGGTTGGGTAAACCTCAAGAGAGCAGATGATGTTTCAGTAATAGATAGTTTCTCAGGGCTGAGCTCCGTCTGAACCACCCGCTTCAAGGCTCTGCAGTATTTTTCATATTTTTCTTCTTCTAGCTATACAATATGTGTGATGTAACTATTTTCCAGAATATACTTACACCACCATTTGTAGAGTCACTGTCGTAGTTGGTATCTGAAAGTTGTGAATGCTCGGCACTAGAGGTGTGACCACTGAGCTCTTGCTGTTCTGAGGACACCTACCACAAAGCAAGAAAATGGTTTAATAAGCATGCTGCTTTCATCATGGGAGAATAATAAAATTTGTAAATAATATAATTGGGGATCCACAATGGTAACTGTCTAAGAATATATAAGACCATTTTTAGAACCAGTTGTGTAGTTAGACTTTGACTTATTGCATGCTCCCTACTGGAGGTAGGTATGCTTGCTGTTCTTTATGCTTTCCAAAAGAATAAAAAATGGCCAAAAAAAAATGAGATGAGGTGCAGTCGTGCCATTTTAATTATATTTATGTTAATTTAGCCTGAAACCTAAAAGAATCTCTAACATTACTACAAGTCACTGGTGTATACCATGCAATAATTTTCAAAGAAGCATACTTACAAGATCATCCTCAGAGTCATTGCTGAGGTTAAAGTTCAAATTGTCTGCATGCTCGCTACCACAGTCAGGCGAGGAGGGTGCCTGCAACCTCAAGGGTGTCTAAAACAAAGCAAAAAGGGATGTTGTTATTTTAGCTTCAATCATACTGACTGCAATTCAGCCTGAAACTATATACTTACAGGGTAACTCACAGAGTCACTGCTGTAGCTGGAGTTCAAACTGTCTGCATGCTCGCTACCAGAGCAAGGCAAGGAGGGTGACTGCATTCTCAACGGCATCTAAAACAAAACAGAAGGGGTGTTGTCATTTCGGTTTCACTCGCACTAAAAGTAATTCAGCCTAAAACTTAAAAAGTATCAAACGTGGGTGCAAATCGTTTACACAGATCAGCAGCTAGATATTTTTAAGAATATACTTACAGGGTCGCTCACAGAGTCGCTGTCGTAACCAAAGTTCAAACTTTGTGCTCGCTCATTACTAGCCCGTGACGAGCCAGCTTGTGGTTCAGAAGGTGCCTAAAACAAAGCAGGAGTAGGATCAGTCTGAATAATTAAATATGGTTTGTTAGCACACTTCCCTCCAAATCCACTTGGGTTCAAAATTGTTTATGCATTATATTTAGGGCCTTACTTAGCTGTATTGCAAAACATATATACTGTGTGGTCGACACACTTCCAGAATGTGCCGATATATTTTTTTAAGTGCATCTGCTGACATGACAAAGCTGTTCCCCTTGCTACGGCAAAGTACAAAGTTAAGCTAAGTTTAATGGCCCACAAAAATTATAACTTAATGCATCAAGTAGAAACTTTGCAAATGTGTCCTATTTGTGCCTCAAATTTTTAAATATTATAAACTCCAGAGTACAAAAAAAAAAAAAAAAGGAAAAAAAAAAAGAAAAATGTAAGTGCCCTGTTTTCAAAAAAGAAAATTATATATAATTTTTTTTACTCGAAGTTGAATGAAATTTGAACGTATAAATGTGACCAGTAAAATATGTGAGGAAAGGTACTAGTTAACGCGTCAGGTCGCCGATTTCTGCGGTCCATCTCAGCGCATAATATTCTTTATTGGGGGTAGCTTCAATGCTTCTTTTGTTGGCTGCAATGTTTCTCATTTATCTATGCCATATAGCGCAGCGCTAACTCAGCGCTAGCAGTGTTGAATCGAGATTAGGAACCGCATCCGTGCTTTGTATGAAGCGCACCGATACACCGATGTGCCGGTACATAGACATCCGGGACTGAATGCATTCAGCAAACGTCGTTAAAAGTTATTTATATACGTACCTCTTCAACTTCAGAAGACTTCTGTTTTTTTCGTGCATACCACGTCGACCGCGGGACTGTTTCTTGGGACCCGGGATATAAATGCTGCTTGTAACGTGTTCGTTTCTTTCGACGCGTGCTAGATCGTCCCGACGACGAAGGCGGGGGTGTATCCCCCGTTCTGCCCATTCTGTTGTTCGTATGAAAGGAGGCGCCTCTCTTAAATGAACTTCACAAGAATGCACTACAACGCCATGCACTCGTACACGCACACACAGACCAACGTTGATGCTAGCGGGTGGTGGGCCCCTCGTGCCCTCGTACTCGTGCGCTCGTGGTACGGCACATGCTCGTGGCCATGGCAGCCATGGTCCTGGCGTGATGTTAACTGCAATGGTACTGAATCCAAGTGCTCCCAACAATTATTGGTGAGATCAGTGGTTGGTACAGACTACACGGTAAAACTTCTTAATAATAATGCTAGTTTCTTAAAAAGAATCATCGCATGTTTAATAAAAGTTATACTGATAAATAAAATAAGATGCCTACAAGAATGCCGCAGTGGTTCGGTTCAACTCGAAGGCGGATCCAATCCAATCCGGTTACGCATTTCGTGTCGCGCGTTGTTCTTACTTCGTATGTGCCTGTACCCCGTTCCTTGTTCGTTTTCGTGAGCTATTGTTAAGGATGATTACGCACGCGTGCGTACGGTACGAAGACGACCACTGTCAGGCAATTGTGCCGGTTTCCTACGTCAAGGACTTCAAACCAAAAGGACTAAATGATTTCGATGATCGTGCGAAATATTCCGTCCGTTGGACATGCGGGGATGGCGACAGCGACGACGAAGACGACCAAGAAAGTTATTACAAAGCGAGAATTCTACTCTTGGGAGGTAAATGGACATTCCTTATTTTTTTAGTGAAAGAATCTGACTTATGGGTTGCAAATGGTCTTTTTAGCGTTAAGTAAATGTTGCTACCAGTTTTAGCATGCGATGTGTGCGATCGTTAACCCTAACACAGAAGTGCGTGGAGTCTAGAGTGCCGTTCGACGGCACTCTACTCGCACGTTGAAGTGCCGTCCGAAAGTCTCGTATAAAACGAATTGTCAAAATAAGTTTTTTTTGTAGTTGTAGGGAACCTTAGGGGAAACCTGTCCGCTTCATGCGCAGCGGACGTGTTGAGCGGACCCAGGTTTAATCCCGAGTAGCCATTTTTTTTTTGAACATTTAGTGATATTTACGTAATTTCTTTTTTTACAATTATCGCTCAAAAAAAAAAGTCGAACAGCGGGCCTCAGGTTGCCGGTTGGATGCCGCGAAGCTGCGTGCACGATGGGTGCAAAAATATTCTAAAAGCCGGGAGTCATAATGATCATTCCTGCTTGAAGGTTTCACTGACGATGTTTCCCGCATGGGAGACGAAACGTTTGATTAAATTGTTAATCATGTTGAGTAAAGTCGGCGCAGTTTTTTTGATCGTGTACGATAGGGCCAAGTCTTTTTTTTTTTTTTTTTTCGGACGACACTTGAACCCTCTCTGGAAGAGTGCCTAGACGCACCCTTATTTTAATAAAAAAAATAATAAACAAAACTTTTCCTCTCTCAAAAAAAAAAAAAAAAAAGAAGAAGGAAACATTGCTTTACTTTGCGCTTATTTTGCCAAAAATTAAGGCAATAATATGTGTGTTGATTTTATTTCCTGTCCATTTAGTGAGTTTTAACGCCACATAGCCCAAAAATTGGAATGCTATTTGATGATTTTGCGAAAATCATTTGATTTTCGCAAAATTTGATGATTTTCTGGGACAAAAGTCTCCAGGACGTGCGAGCTGTGGCTGAAAGGCATTGCTGTGCCATCTGCCGGCGGGTCGCCTGGTTTCGAGATCACACAAAAGCGCATGCGCGTCCTACTCTGCCTGCAAACATGTGTGTTTTCCTGCTCTTCTGCAGCACGGCGCTTAACTCGGAATCGGGCGCGTAATACCGCCTCGGAGATAGCGCTGGCGGCTGACAAGCGTCGGCTACACACTCCGAAACTCGAGATACCGCCTGGGTCATTTCGCCGCATTTCGCCGTGTCAGCGCACGTTGCTTTATAACCAGTTCAGCTTATCGCTCAGATAAGCTATAGGTGCCATGTCAGTAAGCGCTATCTCAGAAGCGGTACCACGCGCCCGACTCCGAGTTGGGAGCCGCGCCGCAGAAGAGCGGGAAAGCGCACATGTTGGCAGGCACAGTAGGACGCGCTTGCGCTTCTCTGTGATCTCGAAACCAGGCGACCCGCCGGCAGATGGCAGAGCAATGCATTTCAGTCGCAGCTTGCGTGTCCTGGAGACTTTTGTCCCCGACTGTACAGACGGACAAGGCTTTTGGAACATACAGTCAATGGTCGTTCTAAGCATGCGTTGTGAACATTAGGCACACATTTGGCGTTAAGAAAATACCCCCTATATAAGCACACTTCCATGTGCAATGTACATTCCTTTTCTTTTTACAGTTTCCAAGGAAGACGTTGCTGCAAAGATGGCAAGGAAACGAATAAGGATTAAAAAAGTATTGCATTCAGAATCCTCTGAGGATGAAGTCCCCGAGAAAAAGCAGGACGCAGAGAGACAAGAAAAGGTGATTTACTGATTTTTAGGATTTGCATGTTAGATCACACTAGCAGTATATGGTGTTAACGTTCCTTAAATTTTTTTTTATGATATAGAAGCAGATGAAGGAGCGTCAGGAGACATCCGGGAAAGCAAGCCTCTTAAGGCTTTTGGAAAAAAAAAGGAAAAAAATGGACAGTGCCAACTTAGAACAGAACGTGGAGCGGGAGGCAGCGAGGCAGGGCCAAGAAGAATTAGAGAGGCACACCAAAGACAAAAGGCACATCAAAAGCTTAGAAAAACAGCTGGCCCAAAAAGAGGAGGAGCTGGTGCAAGTAAGGGGCCTGAACATGCGACTTCAAGACCAGCTGCTGAAAGAAATGGAAGGTATGATACAACTACAATCACAAGCATTTCGATCGAAGAGTTGTAAGATGGGGAATAACTAATAGCATACTATAGTCCGTTGCAACTCAAGAAGGTAGGGCGAGGAGAAGGAAGCAGGTGGAACACTGGAAAGAGGAGGAGGTTTCCCCCTCTCTCCAACATTCCGTCTGTTCCCTCCTCCCCAGCCTTCATTTCCCTCACCCTACCTTCTTGAGTTGCAATGGCCTACAGTATATTTCGAGTGAGCGAAGTGATGCCGTGAATGCGCCATTTCTGCTCTCACTGCATCTGTATGTTTATGGGCACTAATACAAAATTCATATTTTTTTCTTTGGTCATTTTATGATGTCATTTGTATGTCCGTGTGATTATTTAATTGTTTGGTAGTGCATTCACCTTTTTGGATACTACACACAAGTTCAATTGGTTGATGTGTTTCAGATAATGGAAGACCACACCAAGCAAGTCATCTCATGAGCACAGCGTCTTCACCAAGACAAACCTTGGTCGGCCTTGATGAGAGTGGTCAGTATGCAGGAAATGTTCAAGCTAATTTGTTATGTGAATGTTCAATCATAGGTAAAGCTCCACTTTTTCAGATAAATCCAAAAAATACTCTCTGGAAACATTTTTTGCAATTCAGATTTATCAGAAAGACTTGAAATATCAACACAATGACCACACAAAAAGAAAGATTGCCATCATACTTTACATGGGCATAGCTGAATGTGTGGTCACTAGTGCTGCTAAGAGGTCACCCTTGTTTTCTTTAAAATCTGAGTATTGACAGAAGAGAATGTTATCTTGTGTTCTGGGGTGGGTTATTGTGTCTCTTGATCACAACAAAAGCCTACGAAGAGTGGGCTTTTGTTGTATTAACTGTTAGGGATTCGAGTTCTCACCATGCTTGTCACTATAAAAAAACTACACCATTTGTGATTTCTACAGAGAGGAAAGGGAGGGGGGTGTTTTTGTACCAGTGAAACCTGTGATACCAGGGATTTTGTGGGAGGCAGGAGGCAACTGAAGCTTGTATACTATTTGCTAGCAAGTTCCCAGCATCTACGCACCCAAGAGTTTGGCTATTGTTATAAGATAGTCATTTACCAAGAAAACCTTGTTTGCAAGGTTTTTCATGTACCAGTTAGTATTACCAACGACAACCCCAACGACGACCAACGAATGTGACGTCTTAGCTATAGGTCAATCAGCCATATTGTAACCTCCAAGGCTGCCTATGCCTAGCAGCAACAGATGTGACTAATTTAAATTTCTTAGTGATGCACATGTTTTCATATTGGTGGCCAGTAATAGTTGTCGGGGGTAGTGTAGTGTGTTACTAGACTAAAGATCCCAACATGTCGCACGCGAGCAACTGTAGGTTCCTTCTCACTTGCACAGGATCAAGCATGTGGAAAAAGTAAGAATAGGGAGTTTAAGCACAGTCGCTCACTTTCCCCTTGCCCGCTCACATAAGTTCTCCCTCCCATTACCTTTGCCGTATGCTAAAGCCAGGCCTGCACAGTTCGCTCAGCTTACATTTTGTAATGGGAAGGGTGCTACATTTTGTAATGGGAAGGGTGCTGCACATTTTAGAACAGTTTTAGCATGCCTTATTACTAATCTCCGACTGCGGCAAGATTACAGTCTTAGTTGCATCAACTACGACTTCTTCCTGATTTGCCGATAGATGGTGCCCAACATTTCAGAAAATGCCCATTGTTTCATAGTCCCTCTGCTTGATTACAGCAGTGCCCAAAAGAAGGTGCCTCGGTGAGCTGCAGCCTTCGAAAGACGCCCCACTGAGTGTTTGTCGGGATGACGACTCACTTATGACCGCCAAGGAAGACATGGTATAGACAGCTTTCTGTTGCCAAGTTTTGAACAGTGCTTATAGCTTAATCTTATAATGAAGCATCTCATGTCTTGTTCATAAAGAAAATATGTTCTGCAGTCAATCTACTAACTCCTGCCAATTTGCTAATTCTGACTCACTCATTGATTTCATATTTGTGAACATAATTTAAAATTTATAATCCTTCATTCATTACAAAAATTCACTTCCCAATCAGAAGCTACAGTTTTTGCCAGTCATTTCTGTATAAACTGTCTAGTTACATTTTATAAATTTCTTTTACAGGTAGACCTTGGAAGAGGGATCTTTCTGGCATCACAGGCATGGGAGGACGTTCAGGGATGTGCCAAGACCTCCATCTTTGTGAAGGAGCTGGCCTTGGCTCTTTATGGGTCACAGGAACTGATGGCAAGATCAGCCAAAGGTAAGCTGTATTCTTAATTTTGTGGGTGCTCAATAATCAAGCTTTTACAGGTGCATGGCATTCTTTCAACAGGTGTTGTGATAGTTGATGCAGAGGAGTGAAAGGCCAAGCTTACACAGGAGCCCCTGTAGTCGGTTGCCATAGAAAGGTTCTGAATTATTTGGGTGCCTCGTTTTGCAAGGTGGTTTTTGTGTAACGAGCAGTAAACTAAAGAAATTTTTTTGTGATGGCTGGGCTAACCGTGTGCGGCCCGAGTGCTTAGAAGAATGAACCACTAGAGAGTAAAAAAAAAAGGAACATCCAATGTTAAACTAAATAAAATAGTAGCCTTTTTTGTGAATCACAAGTATTGTGCCAAGTCTTGGATTTGGATTGGGTTTTTGCGACTAGGGCCATAAACACCAAGAACAAGACACTTGTTGGGATATGGTTAAAGAGAAAAAAGGGCTTTAGTAGTCATGACTTAAGTAAAACATGGTGATGAAATATGAACAAAAGAGATGGGCATGAGTTACAAGTTAAACCCTTTAAAGTTGGCATAGAAGCCAGGTCTTTTCCCCAGTCATATCCTTCAAAAAGTAGTTAAGGTCACGATAACCTTGCTCTTTCTAATTGCAGAAAATGTGCTGGCGATTGTTTTTGTTCACTGCAAGGCGCATATTTAGGAAGCACAGCCTCGAGTTATTTCTTTTTTTCTTAAAACTGGTTGGCTGTAAACTCAATGGCATGCTCGTGCCTTCAATGGCATTTCCAAGGTCCTTGCTAAATGCCCGAAGAACTCCTTTGGTGTTTGTATTACCCCTGCTTTTCGAAAATTGACAAGATTGTGGTTAATCTTCGACCGACACATTGTCTTTCTTAAAACGTAAAGAACACTCTAGACTAGCATATTAGCCCAAGTGCAAAGAAAGAAAAATTGCCCGCTTTCATCTCTTTGTGGTCAGTTGCTTGTTTGTAGATTATAAAAAAAAAGCAGTACAACAAACTATACAATCCACCTAGAAGTATGGCACTCGGCAGACTGACATGCAAGATATTGGCCTAGTAATGTTTAGTGACAGGTTGTTAATTTTAGCTACCTCCTATATATATTAAAACTTTGGGAGGTGCTCTTACCCCCTGCTACGCAATGGCTTTAAGCACAGTGATGAATGGCTACTTTTTTTTTTCTTTGCTATACCCAAATTGATAGAAGCATACAGCGGTAGTTCTTGCAAGGGACAGTAATGGTATGAAAGAAAGTATGTTAACTGCCCACTCAATTTAGCCGTTCCAGATAGTGGTGGCTGCAGAAGCCTGAAGCAGAGGGTGTATTTGCAATTTGTTCAAGCCATTCATTGTCTTAAATTAAAGAGTTATCACTGGCAAGTTCAAGTTAATATGCTTTGTAGTTTCAGCTTATACACTGTTCAGCATTGATTACAGGTTCTTGTGCATAATTAGTTCTTGATTTATTTTGTTGCTAGGCAGGCACAGCCCAAGGTTCCCCAACCAGCCAAAGAAACGGCCGATCTCGCCTAACAAGCTTGCAGTCATCCAAGGTATACGCCCGATTTCATTTGTGGTCATGCATGTTTGTTTCATACAGCAATGCAATTGCTGCACCAAGAGGCTAACCCTGCTACATTTAATAGAAATTGGGGCAATCTGTGCCAAGACTGCGCCAAAAGCCAATTTTTGGTGCAGCTTGCTCAGTTTGAAGAGATCTTATGATTCACAATTTGTCTTTTTTTTTTTTTTTTTCACCTTAACTTAGCTGTACTGTTGTGCACTGTATGTTTGCTCCAGACTGCTACAAGAGGCGGCTTCGGGAAATGGGGATGCCCGAGAACCTGGCATCTGAGGAGTCAAAGAAGAAGGTGACAGACCTCATCAATGAGAAAATTGGAGACTTGAGGAGGCGGGCGAAGAGGTGCGTTATTGATACATTTAATGCTCATGCAACATTTCGAACAAATTTCTCTTCTCTTATTAAGGCTATTTGTCATTCTAGGGCTGAAGAAGCTGCTGCTGCAGAAGCAGCCATGCGAGATGAAGACACAGGGTAGAGAAGAAGGTATGAATATCTTCAGTTTTAAGGCAAATAGCACTCAAACACCCACTTTGGTTTGCAATTTATTGTAGCCTTATTTATTCTAGGAACGGAGGTCACCAACAGCAGCAGCCACAGCTTAAATAAAGTACAAGAAGGTTTCTGTTCCACCCACTATTGCTGTGATTATTCGAGCATGCTACGTCTACATGGGTCCAAATGACTAACTGGACCCCTGCAGGGGCAGATCCAGAACTCCGTTTGGGGGGGGGGGGGGGGGGGGGGGGGAATTTGTAAGGATGCTATTCTCCCATTCTTTCGTGTGCACCGGGTGTCCGCCTATGTCAAATTGCCCTACGAGAAGGGGGGGTCGAATTGTTTTTGGGGAGGGGGGGGGCGCTCCTGTTGCCCCCCCCCCCCCCTTGCATCCGCACCTGTACTGATAGGGTAGTTTAGTGGGAACTGAATGACCCAGATTGGTCTTTAATGAAACCCATTCCCTATAAATAGAAAGCAATGTCCCTGCAATGGTTTCCTAGCGAGATCCATTGCCGATGTAAAGGGGCCCTCTTAGCTTTGCTGCAGTTTCCCAGTGGAATCCCTTTGGTGACCTTTAAAAACCCGTCAGCTTTTCAATGGAATCCCATTGGCAATTTAATGAGAACCCATTGTGGACCAATTGTTTCCTAGTAGGATCTCATTAGCAATCTAATAAGAACCCATTCCAGACCAATGGGATCCTAGTAGGAACCTATTTGCAGTCTAATGAGAACCCATTGCTGACCAATTGTTTTCTTATAGGATCCCATTGGCTATCTAATGGGAGCCCATTGTAGACCAATTGGATACTAGTAGGACCCCATTAAAAATCTAATGTGAACCCATTGCAGACCAGTTGGACCCTAGTAGGATCCTATTGGAAGTCAATAAGAACCCATTGCTGACCAATTGGATACTAGTAGGACCCCATTGGAAATTAATGAGAACCCATTACAGACCAATTGGATTTTAGTAGGATCCTATTGGCAGTCTAATGAGAGCCCATTGCTGACCAATTGGGTACTAGTAGGACCCCATTGGAAATCTGATGAGAACCCATTACAGACCAACTGGATCCTAGTAGGATCCCATTGGCAACCTAATGGGCACCAGTTGGCACCGTCCAATTGGAGTCCGAAAACCTAACTGGTTCCCAATTGGAAATTTTCCAATTGGTTTTTAATGAGTTTTTTCGGCTGGGTGGTCGTTTAACGTTTAAAAAAAATGCACTCAAATATCTGATTTTAAAGAGAAAAAAAACAACAAAGAAACCCGAAAATGGCAGACACAAGGACCTCTTTTGTGCCTGTCATCTCAATATCCCAAACTCGTGATTTTGCTGCAAATGTACTACAGTGCGGAATCTGAGCGTGCATGCTATCCCAAATGATGCCATAATCGTAAAACGGATCCCACTTTGGTATTTCCTTAGCCAGCGCACAAGGCAAGAAAACCTCCAAGGAACCGAGCAAGAACAGAAAACGACAGTGGTGCCAGCACTAATACTCCCGTGAGCGACACCCCCGACGAACAGCCTTCAATTTTGCCTGCTGACCACTTCTACGCTGTAGGAGCACCGTGCGCCATGAAGCGCAAGGCACAAGCTGTTAATTGTCCTCCAGGAGGTGTCGGGAAAAAAACAAAAACCTCGTGGGCGGTGGCGCCGGTGACACCAAAGATTCCCAATGTGGAAGAGATCCTCCAGGACCTCAGACACCGACAGCTTCTTGCCGACGACGCCCTTGCCGCCCTTCGCCAGTCGCTCTGCGGCACCCCTCTGGAGCTCTGTGTGGAAACACTGAAGAACACCAAAGGCCCAGTGACAAAGGCACGGTGCCCACCGGAGCTGAGGGCTTTTGCCATTACGCTGCACTTCTATTCGAGTAGCGCGTACGAGTATGTTCGGAACACGTACGATCTAGGAATTCCCCAGGTGTCCACAATCCGATCGTGGAGCATTTCAACTCAGGCGGAACCCGGATTCACCGCCGAAGCATTTCAGTCGCTGCGGGTCAAGGTCCTAGAAAGTGAAAAGAAAGGAAAAAAAATTTTCTGTGCGTTGCTGATGGACACGATGCGACTCCAAAAGCATGTTGAGTGGGATGGAGAGCGAATCCGAGGATTGATGGACATCGGGGCTGAAGTGAACGACGACAGCCAGCCTCTCGCCACTGAAGTTCTCGTGTTCATGGTTGTGTCCCTGAACAACCACTGGAAGCTTCCCTGCGGGTACTTCTTGATCCATGGCATGACTGGAGCAGAAAAGGCCAATTTGGTGAACATGTGTCTGACGAAGCTACATGAAATTGGTGTTGTTGCATGCTCCCTGACGTGCGACGGACTCTATTCGAATTGGGCCATGTTTGAAGCGCTCGGAGTTGAGCTGCAGGTTTTTCCTCAAGAAATAACACCCTGGTTCCGACATCCCGCCAACTCCCAGAAGGTCTTCATCTTCTGCGACCTTTGCCATCTGCTCAAGTTACTTCGTAGCACGCTGTCGGCTCTACAGGTCATCAAGGATCCTGACGGATGCTCCATCAGGTGGGTATACATTGAGGAGCTAAAGAAGCATCAACAACGGGGTCTGAGGGAAGGCGACAAACTGAGGCCAACGAATCTTGCAGCTGAAGTAATCAGCTTGGGCGTTGCCGATGCCCTAGAATTCTGCGCCACCGACCTCAAGATCCAAACTTTCGCCGACAGCGAGGCAACAGTAAAGTTCATTAGGATCTTCGACACGCTGTACACAATGATGAATTCGAGAAACCGTTTGGGCAAAGGCCTCAAGGCACCCCTGAAGGCGACAACGGAGCGCCTGTGGAAGCCCTTCTTTGAAGCAGAGGTGTACATCCTTGGCTTGAAAGACATCCATGGCCAGCCACTCCATCTCACCATATTGAAGACCGCTTTTGTGGGTTTTCTTCTGGCCATGAAGAGCTTCAAAGGTCTCTTCAACAAGCTGCTGGGCGGCAAGAAACCCCCCATGAGGTACCTGCTCACCTACAAGTGCAGTCGGGATCACCTAGAGCGCTTTTTCAATTCCCTAAGGCGCAGAGGCAGTTGGAACGACAATCCGACGGCTCGGCAGTTTGTGGATGCCTACAAGACACTCCTAGTGCGTCCCAAACTGCCGCAGCCAAGTGGAAACTGCTCGACGCAGGATCAGACGAGGGGGACAGCCCTCTGCAAAGATACGGACAATGATGCCCCGCTAAACGATCACGGAACCATTCGACTCCTTGGCATGATGGTCCTACCCAGGAATGAGGACCACGACTATGCGGATGTTCCGAGCATAAGGACTCTGGCCTTGCACATAGAAGACCATGACTGTTTGGACGTCCCAAACAATAGAACTCTGTCCTTGTATGTGGAGAACGTTGTAGAACACCTAGCTGTTGATGTTGCCCGCACACTGCAGAGAGACGAGACCTGCTCAGACTGCCTGGCTGTCCTGCAAGAGCGACGAGGAACCGGGGACCCACTCATGCCCTCATCTAGTGTGGTGGCTATCTGCAAAAGCACTGAGAAGTGCCTCAGGAGGCTGGAGGCCGAAGGCAGCACATCCAAAGGGGTGGTCGAACGACAGCGTCTAGAAACGGCTGTTGGGTGTGCCGTTCTTCACGACCTTCTTGAGAGACGTGTCCAATTCTTCGAGGACCTCGACGAACACATGTTTGACACCGAGCCAGACGACAACCACGTCGCTCGGCTGACTAAGCGCACGGCTTTGTGTTACGCCAAGATCAGGCTGCACCACCAAGCAAGGAGTGCATTGTGGGCCCAAAAACGAGGCCGAATGGTTCCCACTCCGTAATTTTACTGGGTTCCTTACTGAATCGCTCATTTTTACTTGCACATTTTGTGGTGTTCATTAAAACATCCGAAAAGCTGCCGTGAACTGTTGTGCCACAGTAGTGCCACCTTCTCGGTTGGTGCTCATTGCAAACCCTACTTAGTTTGGCAATCGAGTACTTCCGCAAAGAAAAGGTCCTCCCTTTAACTCTCAAACTCTCAACCGTAGTTGAAAGTAGGTAATGAGGCAAAAATAAGGGAGTGTAATCTCCTCGTTATGAACATCTAGGCAGTATGAGCAAGAGTGTCTGTGGCATAGAAGTTTCTACCTGTAGCAAATGGAGAGCAGCCCAACTTTAAAGAGGCCCTGCAATGACCTTTTGATTTGTTTTTAATTTACACTGAACCTGAGTGCACTGATTCACTCTATTTTAGAAGTTATAGGCAAATTAAGATTACAAAAACAAGCAAAAAATAACCTCCTTCATGACGCCCCTGGTCCTGGCTTGGGTGGCCAATGGTAGAAGGGAAGCGACTCGCCAATCGACTGCAGCTTACGTTGATGGCCGCTTCCCCTGCAGCCACATGCGCATCAATGGCTCGTTGCTTGCTTCAGCCTTTCACCGTGCTTGTCGGCATGGATCTGCTGGGTCTGTCACAGTTGGAGGTCCAAATCCTCGACAGAAGTGCGGAGCTGGGAGCAGTACCATATGAGAACACTCCTCATAGGCGTCGGGAGCTTGCTGGCAAGGCCTCTTGGCCCCAACTCGATGACGCTCAAGTTCTAGGCAAGTTCTGGGTGGGTCTCCTGTGGCGCAAGACCACAGGAGACAAATTTGCACTTTCGCTTCTTGCAAAATGTGCTGCTGGCGTCGTGCGTTTTCTGCTAGAAATCGCGGGGGCGCCTGTGCCAGCCTGCGTCGCCTCTTCCACGGCGCAGGCCATATCGCGGCCTGCGCCGTGAAATGTGGTATCGCAGCCGCGATTCGAAGGTGCGGCCTTCGCCGTGGAATCGCGGGTATGTCGACGATTATCGCGCAGTTTCTTGTTTCCATACTTTCTAACTGCATTTGTTTTTTTCCATCTAAAATACTGAACAAAAACTACTTCCATAAACAATTGAAACTGTTTGCGCTACTTATATTTTGTATTTCGACTAAAAAAAAAAGCTTTTAGCAGCTCTGACCAGTCGTAAGGCAGGATCTGACCGGGACCGACGACGTCACAAATTAGTCTCATGCCGCACGCGTTCGGCACTACGTCCCCATAGCAGGAGAAGGTTTCCGTGCCGTCCGGTTAAAATATGGTGCACTGATATTTAGTGACTCTCTCCGCACTCG